CATATGATACAAACTCCAAGTCCACAAACCTATGATACTAACTCCAAGTCCACAAACCTATGATACAAACTACAAGTCCACAAACCTATGATACAAACTACAAGTCCACAAACCTATGATACAAACTACAAGTCCACAAACCTATGATAAAAGCTACAAGTCCATAAACCTATGATAAAAGCTACAAGTCCACTAACCTATGATACAAACTACAAGTCCACAAACCTATGATACAAACTCCAATTCCACAAACCTATAATGCAAACTACAAGTCCACAAACCTATGATAAAAGCTACAAGTCCACAAACCTATGCTACAAACTACGAGTCCACAAACCTATGATACAAACTACAAGTCCTTTAACCTATGATACAAACTACGAGTCCACTAACATATGATACAAACTCCAAGTCCACAAACCTATGATACAAACCACAAGTCCACAAACATATGATACAAACTACAAGTCCACTAACCTATGATAAAAGCTACAAGTCCACAAACCTATGCTACAAACTACTAGTCCACAAACCTATAATACAAACTACAAGTCCATAAACCTATGATACAAACCACAAGTCCATAAACCTATGATACAGACTACAAGTCCACAAACCTATGATACAAACCACAAGTCCACAAACCTATGATACAAACTACAAGTCCACTAACCTATGATACAAACTACAAGTCCACTAACCTATGATACAAACTACAAGTCCACTAACCTATGATACAAACTACAAGACCACAAACCTATGATACAAACTACAAGTCCACAAACCTAAACTCATTGATTTTGTTTCGTATTTTCCATTGAATACAGGAACAGTGAATATTAATAAGAATTAATAAATACAGTAAGTAATGTGTTGAAATCATTTAATAATCGTCAGCTGTGACGATAACTTTTTATTCCATGGTGAAATTCATATTACTGGTTTTGAAAATTTTCGTCTGTCTAAATCTGGTTCGGTGTTCGTTCAAGGAGACATTTTCAAGGAGTGAACTAGCATGGGAATTAATATTTCGTAGAAAGTAGCAAGCATTTAAACTCGCATTAAATTGATGGAATTCATCACGCTTTGGATGTTGACAAATTCCTCGGAGTTCTTCATAAATACCCCGAAGATTTAATTAAAACTCTCGTTTCATAGCAACTCTGCATGATATTGATCTCTTTTTTGAGCAATGAAAATGTCTGCCATTGTGGTTAGATCAGGCCCGACAAAATTTCACAGTGCCTGCTACATACATTAGCTGGAATGTGACATCAAATTTGCGAGGAGGTTTCAAAATTAATTAGAAATAAATTTATTTAACCACAAGGCAAAAACTCCGAGCGGCAGCTCAATTGAACCCCTGGCACCAACTGGTTAAATAGATTTTATTACAAACCGGTGGCCTTTAAGTCACGTTTCTGAGAAGGGCACGGCGCTGCCCACCGTGTTGTCGTCACCACGAAAACATAGAGAGGGTAGAAATAGAGGGTAGAAATAGAGGGTAGAAATAGAGGGTAGAAATAGAGGGTAGAAATAGAGGGTAGAAATAGAGGGTAGAAATAGAGGGTAGAAATAGAGGGTAGAAATAGAGGGTAGAAATAGAGGGTAGAAATAGAGGGTAGAAATAGAGGGTAGAAATAGAGGGTAGAAATAGAGGGTAGAAATAGAGGGTAGAAATAGAGGGTAGAAATAGAGGGTAGAAATAGAGGGTAGAAATAGAGGGTAGAAATAGAGGGTAGAAATAGAGGGTAGAAATAGAGGGTAGAAATAGAGGGTAGAAATAGAGGGTAGAAATAGAGGGTAGAAATAGAGGGTAGAAATAGAGGGTAGAAATAGAGGGTAGAAATAGAGGGTAGAAATAGAGGGTAGAAATAGAGGGTAGAAATAGAGGGTAGAAATAGAGGGTAGAAATAGAGGGTAGAAATAGAGGGTAGAAATAGAGGGTAGAAATAGAGGGTAGAAATAGAGGGTAGAAATAGAGGGTAGAAATAGAGGGTAGAAATAGAGGGTNGTAACAACACAGAGAGGGTAGAAGCAGAGGTAATAACACAGAGAGGGTAGAAGCAGAGGTAATAACACAGAGAGGGTAGAAGCAGATGTAATAACACAGAGAGGGTAGAAGCAGAGGTAATAACACAGAGAGGGTATAAACAGAGGTATTACCCGGCATATGTCAGGTACAGCCAAGGCAGCGTGAACTGATAGGCAGCTTTAATCATGACTTGGATCTTCTTAGATTAAACTAAGGTTTCGATTTATAAATAACGTAGTGGTGGAAGATTCATGCTGAATATGACTACTAATTATATAGAATTAATAAAACTAGATGGAGTTGATGGCGTTAAATATTAAAGATAATTAAATTGAGGTGGCTTTAGCAAAGATCTAAGAAAAAAGCAGTCCAGCGGACCAACTTTTGACCTCGCTTAAAATGCTTTTCGGTTCACGCTCTTCTTTGTTCAAAGTCGCCGCACTTCTCTCCTAACAAAATTTAGAGTCGCCCCAGCTTCCGGTAATCCAAATCAGAAGCTGCCGCGTCTGTAAATTTTCACTGGGTCCCAATCAAACTGAAGATGAGAAGAGTGTAAACTTGGGAAGTAGCCTCTTTTTAATCAGTTGATGTGATCCCAAGTGCAGAATCATCATTAGATGGCTCTTATAAAGCAGAAATATACGTTCTATCTGTATATGTTCGTTATAAAATGCAATGACGTCTGTGCGCCATCGGTAATTTCAACAATCTGAAATCTAGAAGCGATTTTAAATCTACCGTCCGTTGAAAAGATTTGATCAAAGGCCAGTCTAGCTAAGAAAAGTACAAGAATCGGCGACAGGCCTATCCAGGCCTATTCTTCAATGCCGAAGATACTATACTATACTATACTATCTATCTCTTTCAACACATATCTCTTTGACGTTCATATTTTTTTTATCCGTACTCACGAATTTAGCTCGTAAAATCGCTCATAGATCGACTAGTTCCTCACGTTGGAATAATTTTACATGCGTTGTGGTTCTTTCCAACAGTTTCCAGCGAATGTGAAATATTTATTAGGGAAATTGACTGAGAAAAATCTAAGCATATACAGTATATATGAAATAACTTTCCATAATGTATGGCAGGTATTGCAGTTGAATGTTGTGCGCCTTAAACTTACTAAGTGATTGAGGTAAAAATCGGACTACTTCTGTTTCTCATCGTAAACTGCTGCCTGTCCCAGCTGGAATACGCTACGGATGCAGGACAAAGAGTCATATCAGTTTTTTTATGGGGAGTATACAGGAAAAAATCCTTGACATACCCCTGTGTGGTGTCTATTTAAGCTACAGAGTATTGAAATATAGTTTATGCCCCATACCATATTGTATTTGAAATTACATCCTTATAATGGCAGTAAATGCGGACAGACACCCTTTATAAGTTTGAATGTAGCTTATCTGTACCGCTACCGTACAATAAATCGAACTTGGTGCATAAACTTTTATATCTCTTTGCATCCGTGAGGTAGTTACGTATAAATATTTTCTCTTGGGGTTAATGTGAAAAATTTTTGCTTGTTTTTTTTTTGCGAATTGGAATCGAGTATGACGTGTCGTTGGGACGATGTAATTTTTTATTATTATTTACTCACTTGAATTTACGTTTGAAAATAAATTAGAATTCATATAAAAACGAAAGAAACGAAAATTAGAAATGAACAATTTAACAGAGAAAGTATTCATTTTGTGTGATCATCTTCAGCGAAAAACGAACACTGGATGCGATGGCAGCAGAAACCCTTTTATATTTCTGGCACTTAGTAGCTCGGAACGTGGGTTCAACGAAAAGTTGTAGGTCTTTTATTAATATAAAAAATTAAATAGTAGAAAAACTTATTATCTTATTATCTGTACCATGTTTATGTTCACATAGCACTGAGCTTCCTCGGATCATTTCGTTAAAAAATATAACTCAGTACTCACTGCAGTGAGCGACAGAGAGCGCATTTTCTCAGAATCTACGAAAACGTGAAGTCACGGACGGACGGACGGACGGACAGACAGACGGACAGACGGAGAGACGGACGGACGGACGGACGGACATGATGAGCACAATAGGGCATTCATTCCATAAATTAGAAAATGCGCTATGTAAAAACGCTTTTAACTTCTGTAAAGGAACAAAAATACGCTAAATAAAAGAGATTTAAACACCTGAATAACCATTAATTCTCGTTTAAATGTATTTGAATATTATTCTATTTGTAAACTAAACCGTTTGGGGAGGTTCAAATTTTATTTCGATTAATGGTAAGTTGAAAATCTTTCTTGGGGAATTCAGCGAGTTTCGACCCCACCTCTATAAATTAATACCGTAGCAAGCCTAATTCTTTAAAAATTTGTATTTGATAGCCGCTGCTTTGATGAAGTTCGATCTCATGATATTTAGTATCATTTCTACAAGGATCCCGAGTCAAGCATTATTATCGGTCTTGATTCGTTAGTCTAAACTGCTACATTTTGGAATGAAATTTCAATCAAAACCTTTTACATACTTCTTTGAACATAATTGAAATTTATGTGGGAATTTCTTAGCAAACAGGGAAACCCTTTGGTCTGTTAGTGATTGTGAGACGACATGAAGGATATAAATTTGCCGCAACCCTTTATGAATTTGTGCCCGATAATATTACCAAACAGAGCATTACAGTAAAGTATAATTTATTACATTAGTGAGGAATAACTTATCTACCAGTATTGTTCAGATTCAGATAGATTTGGCATAGGGAATTTTTCTTGCTGTATACATTGTTCAACTGAAGGCATCCTGGATATGCACTTAACTTTGCATTTCATTTAAGTTCAGGGGCCATACTTTCAAAACACGCTAAGTGAACGTAAGTACTTACGCTCTATTTTCTTGTCTATGATTGGTGGATTTTGCTTCAAAGGCCGTCAATGATTGGCTGATGAACTTACGATCTCTTAACTTTTCTTATAAGTAAAGGCCTAGTAACCTGGTAAGTCGCAGCATCGAGGTTGGTAGCGGCAACGTAGAGGAGGTTGTTCTGGACGAGGTACGCTAGAGCTGGCACCGAAACTTTTAGCGTGTCACACTTGTTCTTCCATAAACAATCAAACATTGATTTCAAGCTTTGCTGAAATAGTAAAAAGTAAAAATATCAACGAAAATGGAATTGTAAATGGTTTCATAATTAAACGTTGATGAAGTTTTTGTGTTTCGCTAATAAGATTATGATTTTTTACGTATGTTTACAGTATCTCATTCAGCATTCTAAAGATAACCAATTTTATCTCATTCATCATAACAAAATTAACCAATTTCTTACCGTGACGGAGCCCTCTGTAAACACTACCAAATTTGCCGATAGAATGAGCTTGCAGGCTTCTGACATCAGTACCGCTGAAAACAGAAATTTTTCTCATTAAATTTCAATCCATGGTCACTCAAAGAAAAAATGTTGCATTTATTTAAAAGCGCTAAATGTCTTGATCTCGTGCACAAGATAGTATCATTATCATATGATGGCTTGTAAAAAATATTTACATGCGTGTAATATGCGTTTAAAACATACCCGTAGATCCTAGAAACAAATCCTCTTTACGCGTTCTAGAATAACGCATGCTAAGAGCCCATGTTGTGTTAATGAGTGTTAGTGTGATAAGTGATACAACCTTCAATTTCTTGCTTCTGGCTGACGTAGCACACGAACTGTTAGAAGACATTTTCACTGAAACACGGAATATGACAGAATACTTTATGAATTTATTTTCTTAGGGGTATCAAGAAAGAGTACTTGTCAGGGGCAGAAATTTCGATGGATTAATTTACACAATAAAGACATGGCACTTTTTGGCTGCGCTCCCCCCACAGTTTCACATTTATGCCATAAGTAACCCCACCATTCCGTTATTGAAACGTTACTGAGCAATGTGTATAATGCTGGCTGAGCGTTGTCTTTTTTTTTTTAATTTAAAAGCTAGGAGTTTCGTACTTGTGTTTCCTGCTTCGGCTACCAAATTCGTGTGCCAATTTTCCTCAACCGAATTTTGGATGAGGCGCAGATGAAAACCTATTTATTCTACATTGACCCAACGATAACTAATAATGACTCGTGTTAAACAATTATGCATAAATTATCTTGAAAGTATTACTAGCTTTTTGGCATCGATATATAGTTGAGTTGAATTATATGATTTGTACCATTTTAGGATATGTTATTAGAACTCACGATAATACTTGAATATGTCTGTAAGTACATATTTGGTTTCATAGTATATATTATGGTATAGCATAGTAGTAGTATTAAAGTTTATTGCTTATTAAATGATAGGTATAGTTATTAGTAGCATTAGTGGCATTGAAGGGCCGGTCTAGTATGGCCTGTCGGTGATTTTTTTTATTTTTTTTGGCATGCATCGTGCAGATTTAAACTCTGGCTTTTCTACAAGATCTTTTCAGAATTGAGATTGAAGCTAAGTTTTTGGTGAACATCCGCCAGTCTGTGAGGTGGGAGGAAATTCTAGTCGAAACATGTACCTCTGTAAAGCGTTATATAATATTTCCTTGAACACTTCCACATTCGGAGCGTCAAAAATGTCATGTATGAACTCAGTTCCACACGTCTAAGACATAAAATTTTATCGCTTGGATGAGTTGTGTCTAAGTTTTTAAGTTTATGTGCCTCCCTCGCTGTTTGTTTTTGTATTATATCAAAGCAATACTTCTCGAATTTTTTCTTAACATTGAGTAAACCTGAATGCTTCAATGACGTCGCCCCAGAAAGGTCGATAACAAAGACTTGGAAGCTTCATGTACTCTAATATTTCTTCATAATAATTGCGCTTTAAGCATGGGAATATCCTTGTTGCACTCTAATGAACAATTTCGTCTAAATTTTAGTCCTTTTCAAGTTTCGGTGACCGTTTAGTCCTTTTCAAGTTTCCAAACTCTAGGTGCGAGCGCGCCTGGAAAACTTCAACTAAGTGTCGATATGAACACTCAATTATTTTTCCACTGTCGACTTTCAACTATCGCTTTCTTTACACACATATCTTCTCATATTGTGAGCTTATATTTCATTGTTCCTACTAAGACGAAGAACTTTACACTTTATCACCATTAAACACAGCTGACACTTTATGTCCGAGCCAACTAAGCTATCAAGATCATATTGAAGCTTCAGTTTTTCTACGCATCATTAACTGTATTATGAACTTTTAAATAGCTGACACACGGATAATATTGCTTCTGACAGATCTTTCATTAACATATATATTAAAGCTGACCATAGAACGTTTCTTTACGGCACGCAGCTGTGAACTGCTGTCCAGTCGCAAATTACACGTAACTCTTACACCTGTATTATATGTAACTCTTACACCTGTACTCGATCTACTAATATGTTGAGAAATTTCCAAATAAACAGAAAACGAACGCCCGATTTTTTCAGTCATGATAGTTCAAGAGAATGGAAATTGCCAAGATATATGAATATTTTAGTCCTACGAAGTTATTAATTCTTACGCACGATGAGCTATTATAAATGGGATTGAAATGCATAACATTTTATTCAGATAGTTCGTAATATTTTTAAATCATATTCTAATTCATTGTTGTCCGCAACAGCTGTTGGTAACCCTGTTCCAGATCTTCAGCTGCAGCCAGGCGGTGCGGTCGAGATATGGAAGTCTGAGGATTGTTTCCGCCAGCGCCATGGTATCATGAAAGTGATTTACAAGGCATGCATCTAACCCCTCATAGTCTTTCCTCTTTGTTGAATAAAATTAAAGCAACAGGTAAAGTTAATCTTCCCTCTAATCTGGCTTACTGATCTGATATGTAAGCAAAGATAAACAATATTCAATTAGTACATTATTCCTCAGTTATCCAAATTCCTTTTGTCATTTGATTTGTGTTTCATATATTTTATGATGTAGCTACTTAATTAATACCTATATTGATTGTGTGTCACTGTGAGTGACAAGGGAATTTTTTTTTAATTAGTCCAGACTCCAGACCAAGGTGACATTTTTTTTAATCCCATCTCAATTGTATAATTATACAAGTTCAAGTTCATAATGAGGATTAAAATTTTCTACTTGTTACTGAAATTTTGCAGCTCTAAAGTGACAAGATATTTTCAATATATTTTGGAATCTCTCAGCCCAATTATGTACTCATGTTACCATTTACAGGAATTAGGTAATTCATCTAGCAGAATTTACATTTTACAGAAATATTAGTTCTAACTTCTAAAAATGGTGGGAAAGCTCTTTTTTTACAGTGTCAAATTCTAGAGAGCTATACAAAGTATACATTAAAGTAATGCATAGCATACTGACCAGCATGCAGAGTTTGGATGCAGCGTCGCCAAAATACGGACTTTGAGCCCAAAATGTTGTCAGGCCCAAAAGCGCATTTACAGTTGAACCTCAGTTAGCAAAGGCTCCAGCCTCCAGTTAAGAAAAAAATTGATTAAAATCATAGAACATTGATTACATTTACATTTACCTTGCTGAGCAAAAAAAAAAGTTCACTTATTGAAAAATTAGTGCATCATTGGTCATCACAAAATTGTGCATAGAAATAATAGAATGTCATATATAGAATTGTGCACCAGGCGGCAGGCATCATAGGTAGAATGAAAAGTAATTGACCTAAACTATCATTTATTTATCCAAAACATATTATGGTTTTCACTAAAACATTCCTTTCTGTTTCAGGTATGTTTTTCCACAATATTTTTAGCGCATTTTCTCATTTATGGAAAAAATGCACTATTGTGCTTGCCATGTCCGTCTGTCTGTCTGTCCGTCCATCTGTCTGTCCATCCTTGACCTCGAGTTTTCATAGACGAGAAAATGTGCTCTCTGTCACTCACTGCAGTGAGTACTCAGTTATATTTTTTATAGTAACTTCACTTAACCCAGTTAAAATGATGTGAAATTACAAGCCATCCTGTAAGTTTACAGATACAGAAAAAATGCTATAAGGCTGCTGATATGAAGCTTGCAGTGAACAAGGTTGTTGTAAATGCTCAATGGCATGTTCATGGATACCGGATACGGTAATATCGCATCAATAATACAGTAATATCGCATCAATAATATGGTATAATCAACTGGGATGACTTCTGCCACCGGTTGACTTCGGCGGCATTTTTTTATTTTGTTTTGCGAACATAAGCAGGGTCATAAACGATGGCCAAAATCACTCAGGCGCTTATGACCTCATTTACAACCCTGGCGTGTATGACCTTGGCTTTTACGACTCCTTTTTTGTTTGCAAAACAAGATAAAAAATGCAGCCGAAGTCACCCCAGTTGACGGTAATTAATGTTTATGTTAATATCATATCAATAAGGGAAAAACAAGTAAAAATCACAGAAAATGTCATTTATTCTACCTCTACATCATCTACAATGAAAGAGGAGGACTTCAGAGTACTGTTAGTAATGGATGAGTACACCCTGCAACTGCATGCTTCAAATGTTTTGAAATAACATGTATAAAAAAAATTTTTAAAGACCACGTTTTTCATGTTTACTAAAAAGTAGAAAATAATTTTTCGGCAGCTACTGATCTCTGTTTGCTTTCATTCTCTTGGTCTTTTGTATTTCAGTTAAAATATTTTACAACATCTAAAACAAAAAACGTGGGGCGCATATGTATTTCATTGTTTGGTGATTACTTGATATGATGAATATGATGGTTCATTGAACATTTGATAAGTGTATTGCTGATATAATTAGAAATAGTGGTTGAATTCAAAATTGAAATTAAGGCATGCCTAAATGAAGATATGCGCCCCACGTTTTTCGTTTTAGATGTAAAATATTTTAACTGAAATACAAAAGACCAAGAGAATTGAACCGTGATATTTGCCAATATTTACTGTTGTTGTATTATAACAAACTTGTAGAGAGATCAGAGATCAGTAGCTGCCGAAAAATTATTTTCTACTTTTGAGTCCACATGAAAAACGTGGTCCTTAAAATTTTTTTTATACATTTTATTTTCTACTTTTTAGTTTTTTAAGTATTTTATTTTCTCATTTTTAGTCCGTTGCTACACACGAAACACGTTGCGAGCCAATTTACTTGACTTGACGTACGTATCGATGATACGAAGCGTATCATCGATATACACAGTCTAAACACGAATATCCTCTCGAGGATGACGTGCATTAAAGGTTCCAACCCCTGCTTGTGAGTTCCTTTAGAGTTTATATGCATGGAAACGTGCAACAAATTATTGATTATTGTATTGTTATCGGGAGCTGAGCTTCCCTAAAAGTTTCAGAGCGCTAGCTTATGGGAAAGTTGGTGAAATATTGATTGCAAGATTTGATCATCACAGACACGAAAGCGAGCTAAGAAAAACGTGGTAATAAAGTTTTATTCCAAGTGTCCCGAGTCCAAGTGTTCGACGGAGCTACTCGGGACACTTTTTTTGTTTCTGGCACCTTACGAACAGCATATGGAATTTTTTTGAAGATGCCATTTGATAGCCCTCGCAAAGAGCTATAAAATGAGCCTAAACTTGTTTATGAAATGTTTCATGGTAAGAAGTTATTAACAAAAAACTCTCTAAACCGTCCCGAGTAGCCGCCCAGTTGACGGTACTATTAGAAAGCTCTTGTTGTAGGCTATCTATTCTAACTAGAATAAAACATTTTGGTTGAGACTTTGACTGCAGGTGGGTGGGGGAAATGGGTTCAACTGATAGATATGAATGCTATAACTTAACTTGATGGCAGAATTGGATGGAATAAATTTCAGTTTCATGGTCTTGGCACCATAATTGAGCTTAAAAATGTGTAATTAAATAGAATACGCAAATAAAATTTACTAGTAATAATAATATTACTAATTTTACTTGTCTCATCTCATCTCATGTCTCAGTCCCATGTCTCATCCCATGTCTTAGTCTCATGTCTCATCTCATGTCTTGTCTCTTGCCTCGTCTCATGACCCCTCTCATGTCTCATGTCTCATCTCATGTCTTAGTCTCGGCAGTAGTTCAGGACCAGCGTACCTCAGGCTCACTGACTCACGGCTGAACTGAACATAAACTGCGCAACATGACATGGTAGAAAAACTGTCAGAAAGGCTGCAAAGCTCTGAAATTTCGAGAGCATGCTCTAAAAACTATGATCTTGATTTCAAATTATCTTTCATTAATTTCAAAATATGATATCAATGTTTACTTCTAGCACAAATGTTACCCCTTGCACACCCCAGCTAAGCAGGTAGACATTTCTTGAAAAAAAAAATGGTGTCAGCATAGTTCAAGTTTTTTTAGTTTAGTTTTTTAGTTTAGTCATGTTTTTAAGCCAACACTAGTGTGCAACTTTTATGTAAGTAAAATTTTTCAACAGGAAAAATATTTTTTCTGCTACAGACCTTAGCAGAGGTACCTACTTTTCCAAAATCTCACTTCTCACACTTTTTTTCAAGGATTTTTTAGAGGTAATAAATGCATGATTTATCAACTTGCTTCATGCTACATAGATAGTAAAAATGTTTAACTTTACACCACTATTTTTAGTTTTGCAATATTTTAGTTAGTTTAGCTGCTACAACATTTGTACAAAATGTTGGAGGACTGTCCTATTTTTACCCTGCCCATCCCTTTTTACCCAGTTTGAAGGTAGCACTCAAATAGAGGAATGGCACTGTTGGCCATCAGACAACCTCTCTTGCTTACAACTGCTATTACACTGCCTCTTAGTGTCAAGCCACAGAGTATTAGAATCAGTTCATTTTTAATTCCTCTTCTACTCAAAATTTAAGCCAATATCTTGTGTATGATAATTCTGGTATCCATGATACGATACTTTATTGGTCTACTCAAAAACAAAATTGAGGATGAGTCTAAAAAAGTCAGTGCTGTGATACCATGCAGCTGCTTGCCAGCTGAGCAATGAAGCTCAGTCAGGCTTGCGCTAGCTGGTCCACCAGTGTAACAATGGGTAAACAATCTTTAACCGTGCAATAATCCATAGGTAAATTCTGTAATGCTATAACACTCAAATCTCTGACAATTTTACCCCATCTGTGATCATACAGTCAATCTTTGGGAATTGTTGAAAGCAGTGAAGACAAAATTGGACATTTTTACCAATAAATGTTTCTGTAGTACCTACTGAGAAAATATTAAATTCAACTTCTAACTAACAATTACGGTACCGGTATAGTCTGTTCCGACATTCAATCAACATATTTTCACTTATCAACATGCCTATTTAATTTTTAATCAAACTAGTAATCCTAGTTATTTACTAAAATCATACATTTTTTTTANAATTGCTAACATCCCTATAATAGCTGCTTCTAGTCTGTTTACTTAATATGATTGAGACTTTACTCAATCTCATTGAGACTTTTTATTTTTATTATGATTGAGACTTATTTTTTTTCTCAATCTGATTGAGACTCATATATGTACTGATCAAGACTTTACTTAATGTGATTGCACAATTTGCCATGTACCATGCATGTTGAAATTTTGTCTTGTAAATACTGTAGTAACAATGTTCACTCAATATACATTTATTCTTTTCTAATCTTGCAGTTTGAAATTGGAATGTCTTGGATCAACACAACTTTTGATGAGAACTCACCTGACTTGGGTTCTTCCATGGATGATTCCTCCATCTTCAGCCAAAGCATCAATGCCAGCTTAGCTTGCCGATCTTCACTTCCTATAAACTCACAGCCGCTGTTTGGCCCTCCAATGTCATCAACAAAAGACTTGTTGAGCCCAGCTGGTAATGGTGCAGCCATTGCATCGCGATGTTCTTCAGTTCTAGACTTAACTCATCATCAGATGGCTGGTTCTTTGCTTGGTTCACCATCTTCCTCTGGTGAGACTTGTAAACTTACTGAATCAGTTCTAATAATTTAAACGTGTTGAATATATTGCATTCTCTATATATTGTTGTAGAGTAATTATAAGAAAATTTTGTGAAAGCATGATTTTACTTCCATGGAAAATAAATTAGGAAACTTGTAAAAGCTGTAAGTATATGTGTTTGATAATTTAAAGTTATGGAAATCAAATTAATTAAACTGAAAAAACAAATTCAGAAACCCTTACAATTCTTACTCAAAATAGTTTCAAATTTCTTATGAAAATTTTAAAATTTTTGATGGTTTCAGGCAAATTTAGCAATAATTTTTTGTTCTTGTACAAAGTTCAATGATTTGTCTAATAATCCCAAATATTGCAGACATTGCAGTACATAACGGCTCCTCGCATTCTTTGACAAGCTCGTCAGCTTTATTTCCTCTGGCATTTCTGGAAAGAGGACCTAATCAGCCCACCAAAAGCAGTTCCTCGGTGCTCTTGGCGCCCTCCGATGTTGGTCCCCTCTCGGATGAAGAAGATCCTGACTTAGTCACCACCTCTTGCCCCATCCCTGACCTCGACAACATGACTGCTAATGAGCTTTGTGAGGATATTGCCTACACGCATCATTCCCTTGGACTCATGGCCAATACGCCAGGTATGATTTTGATGTTTCACACTGGTAATTGACAACAAAATCCAATTTGGCTGGAATGACTGTTACTGAGCTGTCCTGAGCAATGATTAGAATCAATAATTTTCACAATTTTTTGGATAGATAGATTGTTGATTGATTAGTAGTTCGTTTGAAGTTTCATGCTGCTGTTTTAATTTTATTTTAGCACTGTAAATACATTTTTCTTGTGGCTTTTTGTTGTTATTAGAAATATCAGCATTTCTTAAGAGTAACTTGAAACAAAGATAATTTAATAATTTGTGATTTTTAAGCATAGAAATTATCTTGATCTGTAATCTAATGCGGACTACGGTACTTTTTATGTCTCTGTAGCTCTTTGAACAATGTAAAGAAAATATTGTTAAAATTACTCCTCAGAATTCATATGAATGTTGATGAAATTTTTTTTTGCAGGGCACCTGAATGGCCTGGATGAACCTCCTCAGTTGGTGTCTCCTCCCCAAAGTGTAACCCACAGCCTCGGGGATTCTTCCTCCAACTTCCCCTCTCCACCAGAAGTTCCTGTTGCCTCTACAGCAGTTTCCTTGCAGGCCTCTGCTTCATCACCCGTTTCTTCTATTGTCACGATCACTGCATCTTCTCATTATGACTCGCACAAACTATTTCAAACTCAAAACAAATCTGATCACATTTCTCAGCCCCGAATAGCTCCGTCAGTTGCTGATGACTCATTGAACACTTCTATAATTTCATCATCGTCTAATTTATTTCCATCCAGCAATATGCTAAATCAAAGTTCTGAAGCAACGCCAGAAACCCCTGCGATAACTTTTCTGTCAGATGGTAATCAATCTTTAAGGTTGTCATTGTCTCCTTCACAAATAACAAGCTTTGTTTCTGAAGAGAGTCCGCTTCCTAATACAAGCCAAATGAATCATAGTTCATCTCTGTTTAACAATTCAAAATACGATTCCCTGAACATTTCAGCTAGCCTCAGTCTTACGGAGCCAGATACCACTGCGTTACTTCCAGTCAAGGACACAGTTTCAGAATCTGATGACAATACTGCATCAAAAGTGAACAAGTCCTCAAGCTCAGGTAGTTCGTCCAATACAGCCCACGTAACCACCGCACCTACCCATGATGGTGGTGGTGGTGATGGCAATGCTGGTGATGATGGTGGCAGTGGAGATGGTGGTGGCAAAGGTAAAGAAGTTGCTCCTGAAGACAAAGAAGAGGATACCACCAGTCACGAGGCATCGAGTTCAAGCAACTCTAGTCAAGAGTAAGAATATTTTTAGTTGTGGCACTGACAATAATACAGGGTGCGGCAGAGAGGACGAATGGTTTTATAAACGTCATAAAACAGTACATTTTCACTGAAAAAACTTTATTGATGCAATTAGGTTCTCAAAGAAATAGCATTTCAAACAGGTAAGTGTGAAAAATAGCATCTGGCATGTGGTGGCCAAATCGTTGATGCAGTGCTGTAGGTGCTCATGCAAGTTTGCGTAGACTCCCTCCAACACCGCACATATCACATATTGTTACCCTCTCCAACACCGCGCAACACCTTATATTGTTTATGAGTGACGAAGCCCACTTTCACCTAAACGGAATGGTTAACCAGCAGAATTTCCATTATTGTTTAGCGCTAATGAGAATCCTCAACAGTTACACGAAAGACCACTGCACAGCCCAAAAGTGACGGCTTGGTGTGCTGTATCGCAAACGTGCATCATTGGCCCTTACTTCTTTGAAGACGGTAATGGTCGTGCTGTTACTGTGAACTCAGAGCGCTAAACAGAAATGATGACTAACTTCTTTGTCCCTGAATTACGACGGCGTCGTGTTCCAACCCGACGTGTGTGGTCCCAGCAGGATGGGACGACCGCTCACACAGCCAGAGCATCAATGGACTTTGTTGTTGTTGTTGGCCCTCCCCGCCTCGCTTCATGACGCGAGGCGGGGCCTAGACCCAGTTCTGGGGCCAGCCAAGTCGGTCGCCCCAGCGGGCCAGCAGCCCTGCAGCGTTTACGGGGTCCGACCAAAGGTCAATGGACGTCATCCGCCCACTCTTTCCTGGTCGCCTTATTTCCAGGTCTGGCGATGTTCGTTGGCCTCCTCGGTCCCCAGAGTTATCCATATGCGAGTTTTTCTTATGGGGATATCTCAAGGCTACAGTATACGAACACAAGCTCCGAACTATGGACGAATTAGAGGACGCAATTCGCGTGGAAGTCGCGCATGTTGAGAAAGCGGTGTTGGAGGGAGTCTACGCGAACATTCAAGAACGCCTACAGCACTGCATCAACAATTTCGGCCACCACTTGCCAGATATTATGTTTCACACCTGACTGTGTGAAATGTTATTTCTTTGTTAATCTGATTGCATCAATAACGTTGTTTTTCAGTAAAAATATACAGTTTTATGACGTTTTTAAAACCCTGCGTCCTCTTTGCCGCACCCTGTATATCATTTAATTCAGTTCTTTAATGCATAGTATTGTTGATTTCCGAATTATTTCACTACTCATCTTTCACAGGGGGAAAATAATAAAATTTTCAGCTACATTGAAGCATATCAAGTATATACTAAATGTATACGGTACTAATGGGCACACATTTTTTGCAGATCCACTTCTCGCCATTCAAGAAATGCAGCCAATGTTCCTTCGCCAGCTGCTGACGGCGACATCGCGGCGTCTGCTCCCAGAACTTCTATTACTGTTCCTCGTACCTCACTCGTCAAATCAGACTCTGGTAAGTCCATATAATCTGTTGTAACTTGCTTATATCAAGAACAAATTCAATATGATAGATTGTACCCTTACTTGCAAATGGAAATTTAATATGCTGGGAACTGTGGTGGAATTAATCATTTATCTGACTTGAAATAGGAAAAGTAGAGAGATTTGCAGGGCGCAAGGACATAGATTTGTAATTTATTTAAATAATTAGTGATGGAAACTGTGTGCTGGCTGAATAAGTACTTAATCCGTGCTCACTTTTTTCTCGTAGGGGATAGTCAGAACTCTAACTTATCTCCACCAGTCGTGGCACCGCAGTCAACTCACATCTCGGATCTTACAAGTGATACTGCTACCGAAATTCCAGTTACATCTGTCATTATTACTTCACATGACTGCACATCTTTTGACTCGTCTATTTTGGCGGCTGCAACATCTTCAACAGCAAAAACTCATTCCATGGATATTACGGCAGTTGCGTCTATCAGTACACCATCTCACTCTGAACAATACCCGTCAGTGACGCATCCTATCTCTATAGGATCTGCAAGCAAGCCAACATTGCCGGTACGTACCATGGTTACCAAAGCTGCAGTCAAGGCAACTGTGCCTCTGCCATCACAACTCGCATGCATGGTCCCGGCCTCTAAACAACGCTGTGCACCGCAGGCCACATCTTCATTAACGACCAATATTTCACTGTCATCTCCAAAGATGTCTAAACAGCTCTCACATGAGTCGCAAGACCTCTTTGACAGCGAAGACCTCGCGCAGGAGGCTGCTGATTCACTAGATGATGATGATGATGATGATGTGGTGGAAGCATCTCCTACTGAGTGAGTTTTCATCATTTTTTTCCTCAACTTAATTTTTCATTATACGTATTGGATGGCTGTATATTTTCTACAATAAAAACGTGTAGGAAAATTTTTCTGTTTTTCAAACCATAATCCAGAGATTTCATGCTTGTGATTATAATCGTATTTTAGTAATTGTATGTCATAAATATGCTTAAATCACCAAATTTTCAAATCTCTATAGGCTACGCCTTACAAACCTAATTATGTAAGCCGTTGATTTTTGATAAAGCAAAACTTTTATATATGGTTAATTGCAGATTGCAAGCTCGGTCTTCCAGACCCTTGTCTACAAACTCGCCGCTGAGTGCTGAGGGTCACTGGAGGAAATCTTCTCGAGTTTTCAACATTAGCTCCAATTCCTCATCTTCCTCTGTTGATCCTGACAGCAACTCTTCCAGTGATGCCAAAGTTCTTGTTGATTATCACAAGTTGAAGAAAAACAAGGATTTTGAAATAAGCCCCACAATAGAACGCCGTCGGAAAGGCATCAGTGAAGCATACATGGAATCGACTGCAAATCGAAAGATTTCATTTCCCCCTGATTTGCCGAGCTCCAGCTCCCAGCACACAACAGCTGTTGGAAGACCAAGTCCAGCACCAGCGCCGACAGGCAACACAGAAGCCGACTGCACTGTGCCACAGTCATTGGATCAAAGCCTTGAGGTCATCTACGACGCAAAACGCGACTCTGTTTATCGTCTTCCGCCCTTAGCCGATGATGGAGCTACGAGTTCGGTCGTAGAATCTCAAGACTTGCAATTGTTGTTGCCAACAGATTCGCAATCACAAGCATCTTCTGTACTACCCTCTGGTAGTACAGAAGCATTTTGCACATCTGCTGGAGGTGTCGCTTCAAGTTGCGTGGTCCGTAATGCCAGCTCTGAGGAACTCTCTCATCTCCCTAGTGCGCAGAAGTCGATGTGCCGCAACACGCTCAGCAGCAGCAGCGGCAGTTGTTTAGTGCAAGATTCTCAAGTGCCAGTGGGTACAATTAATCCCACTCAGCTGGAGTTGCTACTCTCGGAATCAGAGCGCCCCAGGCTCTCTCAGTCGCCCGAGGTTGGCTTGCTTCTTTCAAATCCTATTCAACAGGAGTTAAAATCTAATTCAACAGGAGTCGAGTCCATGTCAACTTCACTAACAAGCTCAAAAGACCAGCGATCAACAAAAAATAAAGACTTTTCTGTTACTGAAAGCAGCATTTTGAGCTACAATAAGAAAGTGAATTTTTCTGCTGAAATTCATGATTCGTCACTTGGAGAGGAAAGTCAATCCAATATTCATCCCAGTATTGAAATTATAGAAACAGTGACACCAAAGTTCAAGTCTCCTGCCAGGTCCAAAAACCAGTGCCATCAGTCATTGCTTTTAGACAGCGCACCTTCGCAACCTTCCAGTTCAGATTCGTCATCCTCGTCTTCACATTCTAATGGTACGCTTGACCCATCCGAGACTCCTGAGATAGGCGTTGAAGCGCGCAGCTCAGCAAGAGCTTCTAGTCCATCCAACTCTTTGCCTGAAACAGACTCATCGCCCGAAGAGAGGATAAAGTTACCAGAAATAAGCTCATATAATTCAGAGACTTTATCTACTTTCCAGTGTAGTGGCAGTATAATTGCGAAGGCAACGCAAGCTGCTAAACAGAGCGTTATTGAAGCTGAACAAAAGTCAAAGGAAGATCGACTTGCACATTCCCCTAGGAAAAGAGTTTGTCTAGAGCAGGCTTCAAGCTCGATGAGCCTTGATCTTTCTCCGTATGTTCCTGTAAGTGAAACCCCAACGAACAAGTCGTATAATCAAGAAGGTATAATCCTGAAATCTTTACAAAAAGACAATCCAACCAAATCTTCATCTTCTGATTCATCAGGCCTGATTGAGTCCATTTCAGGCAGAGACGTTAGAAGAACTTCAACTCCTAACCAATCACGGATTATCGCGGGAATCAGTCCAAGCATATCAGAGGAAGGTGGAAGCTACATAGAGAAAGATCTGCCAGTCAATTCTTCTGTAGAAGAGATAGGGAAGTCTGGTGAAGGAGCAGTTGCTGTAGAATCAGCAGAGGAGGGCTTGGGGCGAACTATTTCCTCCAAGTCAACAGTGGAACTACTACATGAAGATGTATCCAAAACCGATTCTTTCAAGTCCATCGAGGAGTTGCGTTCTAATGATTTTATATTAGAAGAAGTGCTGGAGTTGAAAGTCTGGCGTAATCGTTGTGACAACAGTTTATTTTATACAAGCGAAAATGGCAATGAAGAGCTCTTTTCCAGAACCTTGCCCTTCAGACCAAAACTCGCTAAAAGCAGCAGCAGCAGTAGCAGCGATAAACGAATGTCTGACGTGTCAACTATCACGTCATCGTCATCAGGATACCACGCCGATAAAAGTTCTAGTTCGTCTACTGGTTCTCGTCGCATGTCATCTCTAACGCAGGCTGACAGCGTTCTGCCCAGAAGTCGGTTGTCGGTCGAGAGCGTTCAGATCGTTCCTTATGAGAATGAACCACCCTTTGCTTTGCCATCTTCCAGGCCATTGAAGAGCAAGTCTCCTCGCGTTCCTGCTCTGATAGCTGAAGAAACGAGCAGCAGTGACGAGCGGGACACGGCGGTGACACAGCGAACTTTGGGCTACGGCCATTTTAAAGCTGGCAAAAGTAGCAAGTTGCCGATAATTCGAGTCAAGTCTACGATTCCTGAACACCCGGAAGGGATTATTGAGACTGATCACTCTATTACCGAAGTTGTGGACTTAACTGGCAGTGACCCTCCAGCTCGAAGAGAAGAACGCCAAGTGATAGAAAAGCCCACGGAATTGAAATCTTTGTCAAAAACCGGAATTGTCAATAAGGGTCTTCATTACGATCTAGATAAGTTTTTCGGCGACTTACCAGATTCTGCTGTTGATGTTTTGAGGTCCGTGCAAATGTCCGAGGAAGAAGAGGAAATTTTTGTTGGTGGTTGCGACAACCAAATCAGTATGCTTGATAGACACGAAGAACAAGCGCGTATGGTCATCAGCAAGATGATAGCGGTCACTCTTGCGCCAAATATTTTAGTATTTGCTAAGTATCATGACCATTACTACTCCGCTATTATCGAGTCGGAACATCCTTCAGGAGGTTGGAATATTAGGTTCACCTTGGATGGCTTCCAAAAACACTGTCCTATTGAGCATATTCTCCCCATCGATATTCTACCTCGCGGACAGCACTGCTTCAGGCGCTATCAAGGCCCAAGTAACAGCAAGTCAATTGTGAGTGTTGATGTGATAATTACAGGGCACACTGTTCAGGACAACATTGTGCTCCATATCGCTGAGGACGCCCAGCAAGCTTTCCAAGTACCACACTCTCATCTGTCCATGAATGTTAGCGACGCTGAACGTTTCGTCAACGCGTGGAAGGTAACGCAAAGCATCGTGTCAACAGGACCTGACGTTTCCCTCAATAACATCGTCTGTGGCAAGCGACGTCGAGCACCAGCACCCGGGTCTCCAGGGTCACTGAAATCCGAAACGACATCCGGTGCTTCCTACTCGCCTGCCAAAGCACGCTCCGTCCGCAAAAAACGCAAGCAAAATTCTGATCCTAATTTCGACACTAGTCTCACGGAGACCGACGCAACGTTACCCGGAGGTGACGATAGGGCGGACGTGACTGACGTAGATGCTTCAGACGACAGCAAACGACCAGCAAAGCGCAGATCTTTAGATGAGCATGAGCAAGCTACCAGTGCTGCAACTCCGGCCAGAGAAGCCACTCCTGTTCGGTCGAAAATGCATCCGCGGATCAGAGAAATTCTCTCGGAAGATATCAGTGAAGATGATCCGTCTGATGATGAACCTTACACTGTGACTCCTAAATCTTCTAGAAAGAAGTCAGTGCCCAAAAAATTATCTCTCAGTTCTCCGAAAAAGAAATCTAGGACTGTGAAAAGATTGATGGTATCACTTACAGTTGATCCGAGTTTACAGTCTACGATAGACGACCAATCTGGTGCAGAAGTCGCTCCAGAAGTATTGGAGAGACTTGCATCTGATGGCGAGCCGGAAGAAGCGAGTCTTGCGGAACCAGATCATCCTCTCAAACGTGGCAGGAAATGCAAGAGGAAAGGAACCAGTCCCTCTCTGGACCCCGCTCCTGATCGCGACTCAAACCCGGCCTCGACAGCTCCATTACAACTCCAGGCTCAGACGCCTCGCAAGCGTGGCCGTCCGCCTGGTGAGACAGCAAATTTTGCCTTCAGATATGCCACTCATCATGTTTATTGTAATTTTGTTTAAAATAATATCATTGAGGTGACTTTCTATATGATTATCGTCAGCGAGACTGACCCCTCACTCAGACCTTGAGAGGTCTTAAAATTCGACATTAGGTTATGCATGTTTTTTTATTTATCTTATTATGTTTTGAAATGCCTGCTTCTAGTGACAATTTCTGTCTTGCCCTTAGTTGTGATTTTCGTCAATGTTGACATTTGTTTTTTAATGTTTAAAAAAAACTTGAGAAAGAGAAATTAAAGTTCAGAACGAGTTTAAAATAAACTGCAAATCTTGAAGTTCGTATTTGGGAAAAATTTTTATTGATGTTTCAGTTGATTTTTTTACATGCTTGACATTCCTGTTCAATCACTTTATAACCTGAGACAAATTTTTTGCATATTTGGATCATTTATGGACTACCTTGTCCAGGCGTCGCTGGAAGCGATTCAAGGACTCCTAGTAAACAAGCCAAACTGGAGACGACATCCACACCACAGCGTAAAGACGAAGACGATTCTCATTCCAAAGGCCCCGCAAAACCGGAAAATGTAACCAAGTTCGCGAGACGAGGCAGAACTCGGTCGTGCAGTTCTGACACTGCCGACGAAGCAGAGGTTTTAACCGCTGCTTCATCCTCACGAGCTGTTGAGTCCATCAGATCTAGTGCTCGGTCTCCTGTAGCAGCTACAGCCGTCGGCCCTGCAGGTGACCGCACTGCCAAAACAAGGCAGAGCCGTAAAGACCGAAGGACAGGACTTCGGTCTCGCCTGGACACAATTGATGAGGGTGAAGCGTCTGTGGTTCCTCCGTTTAGAGAGGAGCGACTTCTCGACCCCGGCACTGATCCCAGACTGGGCACTATACCGCCTAAAGGCAGCCTCATATTCCAAGGTAGGCAATTAACCGGAATTTAGGGGCTAGAGTTTCGTTCATGTGAAATTTTGTTTTCGCATTCAAGCGCGTGAACCTTGCCGCTCAGTCGAAAGCAGAAGTAATAAGCTTGCTAATAAAATCCTTTCTTCCATATTCAGTTCTGTGAGTGTGCTTTTCTTAGGTTTTGGAGGTTTATTGAAAAAAAAAAAATTTTGCGTACACGCAATTTTACTAGTTTCTGGTCCTCACCTTGTTAGGTAGTACTTGTGTGTCTTACTTGTGTATATTTTTGTGTCTTGGTCATTTGAACGGGTGTGCATTTGTTCATCAGAATATTTCATGCTCTGTAAATTTGAGTGAATTAGACTCGCGCCGAATGTATGATAGACCGAAAATAATAATGAATCGCCTATGAGAATTTGTTTATATTCCTGCCAATGTACACGTTTCAGGATACACCGTCCTCATAACGGACTCGGGTGCAAGCAAATCTAGATGCTTCAATCAGGAGAGTGACGATGAAGGTATGTGCCTTATTTGCTAATGATATTTATCAATAAATTCCACTATTTTTGAGCTTTTTCCAAGTAATTATTAACTGATTCCACTCTTTCTGAGCTTTTTCCAAGTAATTATTAATTGATTCCACTCTTTCTGAGTTTTTTCCAAGCAATTATTAATTGATTCCACTCTTTCTCAGCTTTTTCCAAGTATTTATTAATAGATTCCACTCTTTCTAAGCTGTTTTCAAGTATTATTAATTAAGTCTACTCTTTCTCACCTTTTTCCAAGTTTCACACTACTTGGAGGTAGTTCAATAGGGAGCAACTTAATGTAAAAGCGTTAGTTCGTTTTCATTTTTCAAGTCTTGAACATGAAAAGCTTTCAAATTTTGTACATAAATGCCGCGCAAATCGAACAAGCAAATATGTTTTTCCTTAGCCCTAACAATCATCGGTGTATGTTGCGCTATACTTAAGTGACTTGTTACGGAAACCAGGGTCTGCTAGTATGTATAAATCAATATATAATTATATGGTGATGTAATCTTACACGTAGATCAAGAATGCATGTCAGCTGAAAATAATTTAATAAATACGTCTGTGCTATTTACAATTGCTTCTCCCCGTTTTGGCACAAGTTGTCGAGACAAGTTTAGGCTGGAGTACTTTGTTTTAGCGCGACCTTCACTATTTCTGAAAAAATCTGTCTATCGTAATTGCTACCGTTTATTCTTATCAGTAATTGATCATTCTCCATATTAATTTCGAGGTTTTCTTATTTCTTTAGTTCATTAATGAATCGTCATGCTTGATATTCCAATTCCTTTGATTTCACCGCCATTCAGCACTAGACTTTTGATTTCCGACTATGCATTATATTTATTATTCTGTTCTGTTTGCGTTACAGACAACATTCCGCCGTTTGTTATTGTTTATTATTTTGACATTATTATAATATAACATTATATATTGCGTAAATATTTATATAATATTGTATAATTATTTATTATTGTGACGTATTATTATAATAGAACATTATATATTGTGCAAGTTTAAAATATATAGCATATTATATTATTATTTATTATTGTGACGTATTTGCGTTGCAGACGACATCCCGCCGCTTGCTACTGTTTATTATTGTGATGTATCATTATAATATAAATTTAGTTCGTGTGTAAGTATGTATAACATATTGTATTATTATTTATTATTGTGTTGTATTTGCGTTTCAGTCGACATTCCGCCGCTTGCTACTGTTCATTATTGTGATGTATCGTTATAATATACATTTATTTATTGTGTAAGTATGTATAACATATTGTATTATTATTTATTATTGTGTTGTATTTGCGTTTCAGACGACATTCCGCCGCTGAACAGACGCCATCTGACGGAACAGATCCGCGCGGGCGGCGGTGTTGTCATCAGTAAATTCGAGGAGGCTGACCTCATACGAGTGAGACAGGCCACCTTCAGGTGCGTGTTGTGGCCTCAACTGACTTGTCAATATTGTCATGTAACGTGCAGCGGCATTATATCTTTCCTTAGTCCTTAGTATACTTAGTATTTGTTTGGGACATAGCAGTCCCAGGCCACGATGGATCGCCGCCTCTACTCGATAATGTATAAAAAGTGCTAAGTTTGTTGTGAAGACGAAATGTGTTCTCTTGCTGATCACAAAGACGCAAATAGATCTTGAATTTACTCTGTTTTGTTTATTATGAAGACGAAATGTGCTCTTTTGGTGACCACAAAGATGATATTAGATCTTGAATCTACTCTGTTATGTTTATTTTAAAAACGAAATGTGCTTTTTCAGTGATCACAAAGATATTGTTCTGTAAACAAGTTTGAATTTTTGAGGTGGTTATTCCCCCGTAGAATATTCTCAATGATGACAAAAATCTTCGATCACTCTCGGACTTGTCGGCAAAATACAATAGGAAACAGTTTACATCATAACATACCACTCTTATTTTGTGATTGTAAATATTATCTATAAATACCAAATATTAACATGTTAATGTATTGTTGTATGTATTGTTATTGTTAATGTAATAATGGATGTATTGTAACTGCAGTGGCGGAGGAAGGGAGAGCCAAGAAGGCGGACGCCTACTGCTGCTGTGCGACAAGCCGTGCCGCACCACCAAGTACATCCAGTGCCTGCTGGTGGGCATCCCCATCGTCAGCCATCGCTGGGTGATCACAGCCTCTGATATGGTGGGTCATCACAGCGTCTGATATGGTGGGTCATCACTGCCTCTGATATGGTGGGTCATCACTGCCTCTGATATGGTGGGTCATCACTGCCTCTGATATGGTGGGTCATCACTGCCTCTGATTTGGTGGGCGCTCCTCAGAAGTTTATAGATCCTGCATATTGCGATGTTAATAGCAACGCACCCAATTTGCTGGTAGCTTTTCCGTTATCAGATGTAATTATTATAATACATTTGTATGAAATTATAATAATACATTTTTGTGTAATTATTATTTTAATTAAAATTAAAAATCTCTGAAATACGCGCAAAGCTAGCCAGTTGGGATTTATTTCAAAACTCACTTTGACATTTTTTTTTATTTGTTCCGACTTTGCGGACAAGAATCTACCATCTGAACAAAATATTGCCCACCAAGAACTCGGATGTTTAGAAATAAAATTCGCATTTTCTGTCCAATAATTATAATTTTCTCTGCAATGGTTAAGTGGTGTGGTTTATTTGTCGGTGTTATGGCCACGAAATAACCCTGGTGGTGTTGTTTATTTGTCGATGTTGTGGCTACGAAATAACCCTGGTGGTGTTGTTTATTTGTCGGTGTTATGGCCACGAAATAACCCTGGTGGTGTTGTTTATTTGTCGATGTTGTGGCTACGAAATAACCCTGGTGGTGTTGTTTATTTGTCGGTGTTGTGGCCACGAAATAACCCTGGTGGTGTTGTTTATTTGTCGATGTTGTGGCTACGAAATAACCCTGGTGGTGTTGTTTATTTGTCGATGTTGTGGCCACGAAATAACCCTGGTGGTGTTTACAGAACCAGCGGCGCGACTGGGAGAACTTCCTGTTGCCTGCTGGCGTCGACGTCGTCACCGGCGCCATGGTTGAGCAGAGCCCCGGCGTCGTCAAGCATACGCCTGGTGATGCAGTCACAGGTCTTGCTTACATACTTTATACTTCACCTTTTAATTAGTAAAAATTGAAGTTTCATTTGGAAGTAGTTCAATGCAGAATATTTCTACTGCATGAAGCTCAGCTTTATGCCTCTGTCGATAACTTGAGCCTAAAATGATATTTTCTTCATCTGTAGTCCATTCTACAAATGTGCGGCTACATCATGTTAGTCAACTTGAAAATTTCTTCATGTAACAACAGCGAAAGAGCTTACCTTCTGCAACAATATAGGTGAAATATTTCCATTTATAATTTCGTGGCTGACTCACCTGAAGTGTTACAATTTCATGGCTGACTCACTTGACGTGTTACAATTTCATGTCTGACTCACTTGACGGGTTACAATTTCGTTACCGACTCACTTGACGTGTTACAATTTCATGTCTGACTCACTTGACGTGTTACAATTTCATGGCTGACTCACCTGACGTGTTACAATTTCATTGCTGACTCACTTAACGGGTTACAATTTCATGGCTGACTCACTTAACGGGTTACAATTTCATGTCTGACTCACTTGACGTGTTACAATTTCATGGCTGACTCACTTGACGTGTTACAATTTCATGGCTGACTCACTTGACGTGTTGACAGNTACTCCTAGTGCCGTCTTAGTCCTAGCACCGTGTTAGTCCCGGTGCCGTCTTACTCCTAGTGCCGTCTTAGTCCTAGTGCCGACTTACTCCTAGTGCCGTCTTAGTCCTAGTTACCTCTTAGTCCTAGTGGCGTCTTAGTCCTAGTGCCGTCTTAGTCCTAGTTACCTCTTAGTCTTGGTGATGAAATGTTTGTTTTATCGCAGCGTCCCTGGGCCGAGTGCTGGACCGGAAGACAACCATCGTGTTGGCTGACGCGAGTATTCCCAAGCCTGAGCTGGACCGCGCACGGCAGCTGGGCAAGCCTGTCGTGAGCAGCGCGTGGTTCATACAGAGCGTCATCTTTGGCTACAAACTTCCTTGCGACTTCCATTCCTCCTTCAAACATGATGCCCAGCCTGAAGTCGCTGCCCTAGACAACTAGGGTATTAATTTCTTCCCTTATTTACCATCTTGAACTTGATGGTATCTCCCGACTCCCAGTGTGGATTTTTATTAATGGGATCATCCAATTCCGATTAAAAATCATGCTATCACCGCCATAACTGACTGAACAAACTCCTCTGTATCTTGAGATCAATTTTAGGCTGGTTATAACCAACAGTAACTCTTAATGAAATTTTATTATGCCAAGGTTGAACCACTGTTTCTATTATTATTGATCCATCACCTACACGTATCTAGTGTACCGCTTGTTATATTAATCCATATGGCGACGTACAACTTATTTCGGGCTGCAGAAGTGTGCACCGTTATTATTGTACCGAGTGAGGTTAAAAGTGTACCTATGCAGAGTCTGAAAAAGATTAAAATAGTTTCAGTTTTTAATTTTGAAGACATTTTTAATTTTGAAAAATGTTATTACAGGCGTTATAAATGATGGCAGACATTTTTGTTTTATGACTTTTATCAAGTTGTAACTTTTTTTTAATGAGGACGGATCTACTTATATTTAGCTGTAAGAGTTTAATACGGGTTTTGGTTTGGAAGGTTGAATTTTTTAGTGGATTCTCATGAATGACATAACATTATTTTTACCATTTTCTTAGGAAATTACCAAGTTTAAGCCATTTACAATTTTTTTTCTCGACTGTTTTTGATGATTAGTTCTCTGTGACTAATATCTTTATCCTTCCGTGTTTGTTTTTCTGTCGTTCAGTTTTTCCTCTATGCCACGCGTTTCAATTAATTGCTGCGTTTTAGTTCAAGAATTTTACGTATGTCTTCTGTTACGAGGTTAGCAGTCGGCATCTGTTTTGCCAGCGTCAGATTCATATCATTCGTGGTTGCGTGTCTAACATTTTCACCGGTGCAGGAAATATCACATTGTCCTACTTAACAGACCGTTATTGCTTTTAATAAATCGTGCTGCGTTATCGCTGTAGGCCTGTAGCATCAATACGTAACAGGACACACATTAATCTAATTTCGACAGAAGGTTTGTTCCCCAGCATTTTTTCTGAAAGGTGAACTCTGAATTGATTACCGACAAGATGATCTGAGGTATCCAAGAACAATTGAATTATATTCCTCCATTTTTTCATCTTTATTCGTTTGAATAATTTATTTTTTCGTTCCTGGTCCCTGATTTTCTTGAGCCACTTTACGAGGGTAAATTAAATTATATCGATTGAGTTACCAACACGTGTGAAGATTGCTTGCAACAGCATCATAAGTTGGAAGATTATTCAGTGCTGCCAGCATCATAAATTGGAAGATAATTCACCGCTGCTCAGTAAATAATTTATTAACCAAGTAACTAAGACGGTCAACGCTTCGTCATTAGCGCGTACACACATAACAGGGCATTCATGAGTAGACCAATGTTTACAATTGTGCTTCTTGTAGACCCATAGTAATTATTGCATTTTTATTTACTAAAGAAAATTTGCAGCAGTCATTTTATTATCTACTCTAATCCTTCATTTATAATCGATTGAAAATTTTTAATTGATTATCGTTTAAAAAAAGAAATTTGAGTTTTATTCGAATCCAGTGTGTGTGAAGACCAGCAGAAAATTTAATGTAAAAATTTCTCTGTTAGTGTAGAATTTACTTAACCAATAAAACCTGAAAAATACTTGTAGTGCAGTTAGCTGTAAATAAGAATAAGTGAGTTGTATTTAATCCTCAAGACATGTATATACTCAACATTGGTGTCTTAGTGAAGAAATGAATATGGGACTGAAGTCCCTTACGTATGTACAACTATAGTAAGCTCAGTGTGTCGTCTTTAACGTGCTTATTACGTTCGTGATTCTCCGGGTTTTTCGATGCTATTTAATAAGTTTTTGAATTCTGTGGATGTATGATTTGCAATTAAATTAGCGGCTAAGTGTGTAGTTGATTGTAATGGAAATGAATTATTTGATGATTCTGCACTTTAAATGACTGGTCACTCCCCCACCTTATGACCTAAATCCTGTAAGATTTTCTTCCAGTTTTTCTGTTGTTACCTGTGATAGCGTTTGCGAATTGATCGCTTTTATGTTAACATTATCTGGAATATCCTTAGAAAAAAATTATTCCTTCTTCCATAAAATAGGGTAGAGTTTTTCAAATCTGCGAATTTTTTTGGCCAAATCCTGATAAACCAAAATCTCTGCTTTTCCTGTTGGGTTCACTCTAGTCCAGACTTGGTCTAATGAGCCAATCTCGATTGTATTTAAGAAGTGCCGTCTGATCTTTAATGCTTTCTAGGTTCGACTCTAAAAATGCTTAGGATGTACCAACTCTGATGAACGTCAGAAAAATTCGGTACAAGTCTTCGATCATTTGTTTAATTTTTTTTATTACTTTTTGATGGATATTTATTTTTGGCATTATGAAGACTGAAGCTCGCGCTTGATTAATTTCATAGAAAAGGCAGTTTCAAGCAGGTTTCGTTCCGTCATCAAGATTTGTTTTAATAGAAGATGAGGAGAGGAAGGGCCAGACATTTCTGCGTATTATATTGTGTTCTGAATAAGAACTGACACGCAGCATTCAGATTTCTTTCGATTTGTTTTTACAGTATTTCTATTCGGAATACCTTTATGTTGCCAAGGGAGTTCATGTTGCATTTCCTTTTTGGTTCAGTTAGTAAGTGTTGCTTAAATTTCCCTCGATTTGATGTGAGCTTCGTACCCTGTAGTTAATTTTCGAGGGTTTGCCCGGGACCGGTAATGTTGGAATGAAGTTGTTCAATCTTAGATCTCTTCCCGGATTAGTTTCAAATTCATGTATTGTATTCTTGGGAATCGTTATTAACCTGAAAACGTCCAATTGAAGTAAAAATTCTACGAAATGTGCAATGTTATGAAAGTGCCGTCACATTACGGCTCATTCCAAGTCTGTTAACGCTGCAACTCAATTAATTAATTTGAACTGATCCAAGAGCGTAGAATTTAGTGCAATTCTGTCAAGCGTTAAAGAACGGACTCCAAATTTTCTAGACCGAGATCCTATGTTTTTTTCTCGTAGACCTTAAATGTTGAGAACTAGAACGTTCAATTATCACGAATTTTATTTTTAATTGATTCAGCAATTGAAGTTTCCTTCGTTAAATGAACTTGTAAATTTCTTATATATCTTCTAACGGACGCGGGGCTTTAACCTGTTGGATAGACGTAGCTCACTGTTTGTGTAAAGGAAATGACGGGGGAAAAATATTTGTTTATTAATTACCTTCTTTAACCCACCAATGACCGTTGGGTGCTCGGTGGCTAAACTCCCCTCAATGGCTGTAGCAACGTAGAAACCATGCCCCCAAGGAGCAATAGTTACGCTAAGTTGTCTCGTAGTTACGCTAAGTTGTCTCGTAGTTACGCTAAGTTGTCTCTCGTAGTAAAGCGCCCGTGATAAGGCGCTTTAGTTTAGACTTAAAATTATTGCTAATATTATCATTAATTAATGTGCTTATTATTATGTGTTGTGTGGTGCGCCCTCAGTTTCATCGTTCATATCCACGCATTTCGCATTTGTTATGTGTTTACCGTATAAATACTTGAAGGAAGTGCAAGGTTTCTACTTATGGTCATCACACGTGGTACGTCGTATTTGTTCTGTATTTACCGTATAAATGCTTGAAGGAAGTGCAAGGTTTCTATTTATGGACATTAGACGTACGTCGTATTTGTTCTGTATTTACCGTATAAATACTTGAAGGAAGTGCAAGGTTTCTATTTATGGACATTAGACGTACGTCGTATTTGTTCTGTATTTACCGTAGAAATACTTGAAGGAAGTGCAAGGTTTCTTTCTACTTATGGTCATCACACGTACGTCGTATTTGTTCTGTATTTACCGTATAAATACTTGAAGGAAGTGCAAGGTTTCTACTTATGGTCATCACACGTACGTCGTATTTGTTCTGTATTTACCGTATAAATACTTGAAGGAAGTGCAAGGTTTCTATTTATGGTCATCACACGTACGTCGCATTTGTTCCGTATTTACCGTATAAATACTTGAAGGAAGTGCAAGGCTTCTACTTATGGTCATCACACGTACGTCGCATTTGTTCCGTATTTACCGTATAAATACTTGAAGGAAGTACAAGGTTTGTACTTGTGGTCATCAATTGGGGCTTTTCAACGCAACGTTCACTCAGCCTCATTATTGCAGCGGGTGAAAGCATGCCTACATTTTATCATTGCACTCGCTGCTGCTTTCTTATTAACAAACAATCCTCATGATCATTCATATGGATCAAACTGTAAATTGATCAAATTTATCAAAAATCTTTCTAGCGTCTGCAAATAATCGGAATTTTAATTTGTTCTTGAAAGCTTATTAGTACGTTTGTGTTGAATGGAACCCTCCTGAGTATCAAATGTTGTGCCGCAAGTCAATCTCTCAAATATGAGACTTCAGGAAGACTTGTTACTATGTGCCATATTCGACTTGAATGACTTCTCGGTCGTGATAGTAAGTCAAGACTACCTCCTGCTCTTTGTTGTCTACGCTCGTGTTGCATTCTAGCGACGCTGATGGCCTGCGTCTCAACATATTTCTCGACTTCGCTGAGCTTCTCATATGGTCATGTAGAAATGTTCGCGTATGTGCACTTCTGCAGTGTTGGGCATTAATTTACGAAGTAGTTAGTTTTGTGGAGTTTCACTTGTTGAACACTAACTATTATTATCAAATTGGTCTTGTAACTCATCCTGATTGACGAATGATCCTATCGAATTCATGATTATAGATAGAGCTTTGACACTGATTCGTATTTCGTTGCCGATTTCTAGGGATATGGGTTTTTCAATCATCCTTTGTTATAAAATTATTATTTTCGTCAAACTCCAAACATGTTTCTTGATTGACGAGAAACGCTGTTCAGAAACAATTCGAGATGAAGATCAGCTGCGCCGACAGCTGGATTTGAAAGTGGAATGTATGCAGGTAATGTTTTTTTTTATTTCTTCTTTTAATTCCTGCTTCCTTCAGATCGACATCTTTCCCAATCACTCGATGGAGATCAGAGCATGACTCCTAATTTCATTATCCAACCCCTAATTTTTTTAACGAAAAAGTTGCCATTGCTACTCTTCTATAGAAGTACCCGTTAAAATGAGTATTCGGAAGGCGCAATTTGTTGAACAGGACTTGCGGAATAACGCCAATTTTAAAAATTGCGCACATATTTCAGTGTGTAATTGTGGCGGGCAAATGCTACGAATAATTGAAAGCTTGCTTTATTCTTGTTGCCGCCCGTCCCCATCGCCGGTACGCCCTTGCGTTGTGGTGCATTCGTTCGAAAACCTAACGTGCGTACGCCATGAAATTCAGGTACTAAGTTATGAAGCGCTTTTCAAATTTTTTTCGTTTCTTGCTTTACTAAATTTGAGAAAAGCAAAGAAGCTCGGGTTACGTAACACCTCTGAAATGTTTTTCTGAGGTGCAGACGTTCTAGACACACTTTATATTTTTACCTCGGATCCGAGACTTTGATTTTGTGTTATAATTTGACTTTTTGATTTGAAATTGAAGAAATTCGGGGTCAACTTTTTTCTTCACTTGGTAACGTGTACAAGTCATGTGTCCTGAATGCCTGCTTCTCATGTGATGCTTCAGCTCCATTTTCTCTTATGTTCATAACTTTATATTTGCTACCTAAACTCCTAAAGTAAACTGTAGCTTACTTTTTTATTTGTGTTTAATTTCCCCTTTTTGTAGTTTTCCTTATCCCAGAGTTTTTTTAGTGCATGTTTCATGCGCTTATATTATGTACTTGCTTATCCCTTTGGTGAATGCCAACTTAGTTTACTTTTCTGAACTAACTTGTAAAATCTTACTACCACGACGCGATTTATATCTGCACGTTCCAATTATATTGCCAATTCGTACAGAATTTGTTGGCTGCACACAACAACGTACGGTGGTAAGACTGGAGAGTCACGAGGAGGACAAGTGATGCATTGCTTACATTGAGTGATAAGCTTTGATTTCTGAATACAAAGGCACAATTAACTTCAGTTTGTTATGTGGCGTCAGCTGCTGTAAATAGTGAAGCCCCTGGTTGTATATATGTTTTGAAGCAAATGTATATAACTTTCGGAGCCATAACTGTTTTCATGAGCATTTAAAAAATACCAATTAAAGGTGCAATTTTGATCAATGTCGGCTTGTTTTTGTAAATACGTCAGGCACCGGAAAAATATCAGCTTTCGAATTAAGTAGATTTAGCGTAACGTAAAGTAGAACTTGTGATGTAGAAATGACGTTTGGTTCCTCCAGTGACCTTTGGCTTCATTCTTCTCGTATTTTGAGGATGTGGACCATTTTTCTGCAAGTATATCTAAGCATCGTACAATTCAGAGTAACCGCTTGTTTATCAAGTTTATTTTCATTGAGGCCTACTTATGTACGTGATGTAGAATATGTATTATGTCAGTGAATGCGGGTAGTGTTGTGCTGTAATGTTTAGCTCCGTTCGAGATCAATTTCCTCGCTTCTTTTTCTTATCAAATTCCTCGACCCAAATTTACATCAAACTGTAAGCGAAAGTATACCTGATACCTTAAATGTCGTCTGGCGAACTGGATTCTCGAAGAGTTCCAAGCATTTACTGTTTTTATTTGTAGCTTTGAACATATCGCTTAATTGTTCCATGCAGTACACAGTAAATAAAATGCTCTTGCTTTGTTTAGAAGTTTGTTTATCACGTATTATATGTTTTCCAACATTTCCTAATTGAAAGGGATGATCGTGGTTCAAGTGCAGTTCTTCCCCACTTACTATTATGGGTGAAAAATAGCATAGTTCCGCATCTCCGATCAAGCTTTATCAAATTAATAATGGAGCACTCGAACCTAAATGTTCTCTTTTAAATAGACTATAGAGTGACAGCGGTTGTAGATTCTGAAGAAAAACTCTTAATATTTTTATCGGCCTATCAGTGGTTAATAAAACTCGTTCATATAAGGATTTTCTGTCTAGTGTCAGCTTGCAACTTCGTAAATGCGTTCCGTGGGGAAGAAAGAATATAGCTTTTTACAAAATAACTTGTATATTCCTATGCGATGATGGATTGTAAAGGTTTGTAGATAGTGCATCCACTGACTGGCTAGATCTATAGTATCTTCAATGAGAATTAAGGGTCGTACGACCGAGATGATGAGAGCTGAGATTGTCGGTTAATATAAAAGAAAGGACCTTATTCGGAGCGATAAGAATTGGGAAACTTTTCTATCTAACTAGGCACAGAACTCTGGTCTGGTGAAAATACCTCAATATTATGAGTCAGGTCCCAGCGATGGTGCGAAATCGTGGGACAGTAAAAAAAACTCCGGCAAAAATTAGGGTAACTTGTACGGCAAAAAATGAGTGTGTCTTTATAACTTTGAGAATTCACATCGGTGAACTATTTTTATATGTTCGTCTCTGGATAAGAATATAATGGAACTTGTTCAAATAATCTCGATAGTTGTGGTTACACCTAAAGAAAAAAACTCCAAGCGTCAACATAATCATATTAGTAAGTAAATTACCAGACCGGGTACGCAGCCGTGCACCAATAAATTTGTGCACCAATCAGCCTTGAAAGGAACGCCTAGCATATATCCGGATGACCACCAATCAGCCGCGGATTAAGCCATCCGTCGGTAACCAGCCCGTGACATCATCTTGCTTTAAATATTAGGAGCTTTACGCCACAATATTCTGAAGCGAATAGCCCAGAGAGTAATGGTTGTCTCTTATACACATCTAGATGTGTATAAGAGACAGTGAGTGCAGTGCTGTTGTGCAGTGATATTTTGTGTTGCAATGTGTTGTGTTGTTAATACCATATTGTTAGTGTTACCATATTTTGTGTTATTCGCTTGTGTCGATCATTAGGCATCGGCCACTTTGATCGCAGAGAGCGCTCATCAGTGTTGATCATTGGGCATCAGCTAAACCGACCGTAAATCGCGTGCGCTTGTGTCGATCATTAGGCATCGGCCACTTTGATTGCAAAGAGCACGCATCAGTGTTGATCATTTGGCATCGGCTAAACCGATCGTAAATCGCGTGCGCTTGTGTCGTTCATTAGGCAACGGCCACTTTGATCGCAGAGAGCGCACTTCTGTGTTGATCATTGGGCATCGGCTAAACCGATCGTAAATCGCGCGCGCTTGTGTCGATCATTAGGCATCTTCCACTTTGATCGCAAAGAGCGCGCATCAGTATTGATCATTGGGCATCGGCTGAAACGATCATAAATTGCGTGCGCTTGTGTCGATCATTAGGCATCGGCCACTTTGATCGCAAAGAGCCCGCATCAGTGTTGATCATTGGGCATTGGCTAGATCGTAAAGCACGTGTGTTTGTGATGATCGCCAGGCATCAATCGTAAAGTACGTCTGCCTGTGTCGATCATGCAGCATTGGCGAGGGTTACACTTCCGTTTTTAGCAAGCATATTGGCAACTTTCTTCCCTGGCGTACGAACCTCCGGCATACACGCTGCACCTTCCTGACCATGGGCGTAAACGTCAAAATTTTTCCAATCTATGTAGTATAAAGGAAGTCAAAAAATACTACATTTACTAGCTTTGAAAAATTCATGAAAAAAATTGTGAAAAAAGCTATTTTGAAAAGTTACTTCTGCTAAGGTCTGTAGTAAAAAAAATATTTGCCGTATTAAAAAAAAATTTTACTTGCATAAAAGTTGCACCCAGGTGTCGGCTTGAAAATTTTATTTACAGAATTTACATACCTCAATCAAAAAAAAAAATGGCAGCCATTTCCGCACAGCAGGGCTACTTGGAACACGCCTCAGGGGATATTCGGGACACCCCCAAAAACGCATTTACAGTAGAACCTCAGTAAGCAAAGGCTCCAGTTAAGAAAAAACTTGATTAAAAACAAAGAATATTGATTACATTTACCTTGCTCGGTGAAAAAAATTTCACATATCGGAAAATTAGTGCATCATCGGTCATCACAAAATTGTGCATAGAATGTCATATATAGAATTATGCATCAGGCATCATAGAATGAAAAGTAATTGACCTAAACTATGATTTATTTCTGCAAAACATATGATGGTTGTCACTAAAACATTCCTTTCTGTTTCAGGTATGTTTTTCAACGATCTTTTATTATAGTAAATTCACTTAACCCAATTAAAATGGTGTGAAATTACAAGCCGTCTTGTAAGCCTACAGATACAGAAAATATGCTATAAGGCTGCTGATATGAAGCTTGCAGTGGTCAAGGTTGTTGTAAATGCTCAATGGCATGTTCATGGATACGGTAATATCGCATCAATAATACGGTAATATCGTATCAATAATAGGGTACCGTAAAATGGGGTTACTTTGACTGGCTGGGTAACTTTGACCACTTTTTGTTTTTTTAACAAAAACCCCCAAAACTCAAAAACGATTTGACATAGAAAAATTTTGTCAATGGCCATCAAAGGCCTGATACTAAGGCTACGTAACACAATAGAAAGATTTAAAAAGTTTGCATATCTAATAGGTTAAAAAAAGCGTGTTAAAAATTCTATGTTTGACGCTCGGTTGTGTTTAAGTTAATGAACATTTTTCCAAAACTTACAAATTTATCGCATTAATAAATTAGATTCTCAATTTGCTGGAGCTGAATAATGAACACTTGAGTCACAGGAACGATACACTTGAGTCGTAGCTACAGAAACGATACACGGATGGCTTGTTTAACAACACTTGAGTCGTAGCTACAGAAATGATACACGAATGGCTGTTTTAACAACACTTGAGTCTTAGCTTTAGAACAGATACAAGAATGGCTGTTTTAACAACACTTGAGTCGTAGCTACAGAAACGATACACCAATGGCTGTTTTAGCAACACTTGAGTCGTAGCTACAGAAACGATACACCAATGGCTGTTTTAGCAACACTTGAGTCGTAGCTACAGGAACGATACACCAATGGCTGTTTTAGCAACACTTGAGTCGTAGCTACAGAAACGATACACCAATGGCTGTTTTAGCAACACTTGAGTCGTAGCTACAGGAACGATACACGAATGGCTGTTTTAACAACACTTGAGTCGTAGCTACAGAAACGATACACCAATGGCTCTTTTAACAACACTTGAGTCATAGCTACAGGAACGATACACGAATGGCTGTTTTAACAACACTTGAGTCGTAGCTACAGGAACGATACACCAATGGCTGTTTTAACAACACTTGAGTCATAGCTACAGGAACGATACAGGAATGGCTGTTTTAACAACACTTGAGTCGTAGCTACTGGAACGATACACGAATGGCTGTTTTAACAACACTTGAGTCGTAGCTACAGGAACAATACACCAATGGCTGTTTTAACAACACTTGCATCGTACTAGCTACAAAAACGATACACCAATGGCTGTTTTAACAGGTTATTCTTCGGCGGGGAGCACACAATCCGCAACTACCCTGCGACGGTTCACGGCGCCTTCTTGTCCGGACTGCGATAAAGGAAAAACGAGTAAAAATCACAGAAAATGTCATTTATTCTACCTCTACATCATCTACAATGAAAGAGGAGGACTTCAGAGTACTGTTAGTACTGTCAACTGGGGTGACTTCGGCCGCCAGGGTGACTTCGGCCCCGTTTTTGATTTTGTTTTGCAAACAAAAATGGGGTCGTAAACGCCAGGGTCATAAACAGTAGGGTCGTAAACGAGGTCATAAACGCCAGAGTGACTTTGGCCATCGTTTATGACCCTGCTTTTGTTTGCAAAGCAAAATCAAAAACGCGGCCAGACACCCCAAACCCCGGCGGCCGAAATCACCCCAGTTGACACTTGAAGGTAATAGATGAGTACACTCTGCATGCTTCAAATATTTTAAAATAAAGTTTTATTGCAAGTGTCCCGAGTAGCTCTGTTCGATGGTGCTACTCAGGACACTTTTTTGCTTCTGGCACCTTACGAATAACATATGGAATTTTTTTGAAGATGCCATTCGATAGCCCTCGCAAAGAGCAATAAAATGAGCCTAAACTTGTTTATGAAATGTTTCATGGTAAGAAGTTATTAACAAAAAACGCTCAAAACTGTCACGAGTAGCCCCGGTTGACGAGTAGCCCCGGTTGACGGTATATACAGTATATACTGTATACCTTGGCTTGCTCAGAACTTGGCTTTGTCAGTTTAGGGGAGAATTGATTGATTTCATCATATTCTTCCTTTGGATTTTTGTATATATTGAATACAGGAAATAAATGGTTATGTATGTATAGAAGCAGGCATGGAAATGATGATGGAATGTATCTACTTTCCAATCACTGACTTCAATCAGTGTCTTTTTTGCATTTTTTGGAACAACAAGATTCTACTTGAAAAATTAGCTCCACCNCAATCACTGACTTCAATCAGTGTCTTTTTTGCATTTTTTGGAACAACAAGATTATACTTGAAAAATTAGCTCCACCATCTAATTAGCATCATAATTGCTCAATCAAGCTGCAAGGTCTCAAATCTATTGTAAATATGTTACTTTGTAGGAACACAAATTTTAGTAATAAGTAGTAGATGCCAATCTTGTGTATAAGTTTTAGAGTAAGTATTTAAGCTTTAAATGAACAATGTATCAGATAACTCAAACACAATACATAGATCATGATTGAAGATGTTCTTAATGTGAATTTAAACTCAACACTACAATTTCTAGCACCTTCCTCCCTGCTTCAGTTTTCAAATATATGAAGTCCAAAACTATCTATATGATACATACATATAACTTATATACAGGGTTATTCTAAATACTGGACCTAATTTAATAAATTTGTTTGTATTTAAGTACCTATAAATTCAAAACTAATGATTTATACACCAATGGAAAGAAAAAGATGCAAAGTTTTTTATTAACTTATAAATGTTCAATATTTATGCCAGATATTCAATATGTCTCTCTTGTGCCAAATCTTCATTTCACCCTTGTAAATAAAGATAGCTAAATAGCTGAAGCGCTAGTAAACATTTGGCCACTAAACTAAACTAACTAACTTGTAAATAAAGATCTGGCTATACACTTCTGGCTTCAAGGTCACCTGATCTTACCACATGTAACTATTTCTTATGGGGTTATGTCATGATCTCATTATGTTGTAACTCATTTAATTATTTCAGGCAGGTGACGGAGCATCTTCTTCTGTCACTGAAGAAAGTGTTCCATCAACCTCAGCTGCTCCTACCGCTACAGCGTCATCAACCACCGCTGAAGTGAAGGAAGAACCAAAACCTGAGAAAACTGAAAAAGAAGAAGCAGAGGGAGAAAATGATCCTGAAGATCCCACTGGTGATAAACAACTCATTGTTTACTCATTTTAATTGAATATCAGTCCAAGTATCTTGAGGATTGTTATCTTTTGAATTGTTCTCAGTGTTTTCATCAGGGAATTGCAATGATTACTACGAAACACTTGAAAAAGATCTAAAAACTGTATTGAAACAATATTGATTTAATTTTAAATAAGAATTTGTTCAAACAGCATTAATTTTTTATTTGGATGGATCTCAGTTACACTTTTCTGTACATTACATAGTTCGTTTTGGAGAAGCAGAATTCATGTTTGCATTGGTCGATTGGTATGCAAGTAAATTCATTATGATTGCTTTATTTAATGCTGTACTAACATTAAACCAAATGAAATTTCTGCTGTGAAGCATAACAATCTAGCCTGCTGTCTTGTCATGCAAGAATTGATGCTAATATTAGTCTTATTGGTAGCTTGTTTTTTTTTTTAGTTGCAGCTAAACTATGTTGATTTTTCTCCTAAATGTTGCATCATAATCGTGTCTATGATAGTTTTTTAGAACTTCTAGGTGCATAAAAGTTGGATTTAATCTCTCAAAAGAAGCAGGAAAAAAATGGGCCCAAACAATAATGTTTTGAAAAAAAAAACCCTGCAAACAAATCACAAAACTGTCCTACCAATGCAACTGAACTGATGTTTCATCTTTGCTGGGTGTGGGTGTGTCATTGCCTTTGTATTCTAACAATGCATTCACTTGTGAAATTGTTTGGTAGGTACATCAAATCGTTTGTAAAACAACACTTTAATTATATTCCATTCCACTCACAAGTTAATGTTTTTGTTGAGCTGTGAGAGTATATGGCTCTTCCAAGTCCATTTTAATAAGCAAGTGTGAGCCTTGATGTTTTTCTAATCCTTGTAATTAGTGCTTGTTGTTAATTGATTATATTTATTTCAGTTGGCCTTGAAGGAGCAGCGTTTCAGAGTCGTATCCCGGCTGACAAGCTCACTACTTTAGAAGGGTCCCTCTTCTCTGACATCGCTGCAGCCCCTCCCACTACCCACAAAGTTTTTCTTTATATCCGCAATAAAACAGTGAGTTGCTCATTATTTCACTCATTTCAAAAATATTTCAAGTATATTTCTTGAATATTCATGCTACGGTATTTGGATTAACTGAATTAAATGTCCAATAATTCACACCTCAATGCAGTATTTAGTTTTCCTGTATATAACTTTTCCAATGATAGCTTACTATCTGCAGTCATTTTAGTGCCCAGAAAAATCAAAGGTCTTATTTTAATGGCATAGCCTCGGAGCCACCAAAGTAGCAATTTGAATTTGATAAAATATTTTAGCTTGCAATTACAGAAATTAAGTATCATAAATATGGCCATTAAATGGTTAGGTGACTCCTAGATATTAGGATGATATTCATTAAATGATTACATCGATTATTTTTCTAACCTCTTTTTGATTAAAATTTTGAAGTAATATTGTGTTATAAAGTTGACTTGATGCTTCTCATAAAAAATAAGTTGCTGATGCTTGATATTCTCTCCCAAAGAAAGACATAATCACCAGTTTGCAAATTATTTTTCTGACAGGAGGCAATTTCCGGTGAGTAACAGAGGATTGTACTACCAGAAACATTTGAGTACTAATAATAGTATAACTACTATATACTTTATGAAATAATTGTCATGTAATTCTTATTTCAGCTGCAGCTATGGCTGGCGAACCCCTTGCAAGAGCTCACATACGAGAACCTCTTATCACAACTCGACCCACCCTTCAACTCGGACACGGTGCTGGTGGCAAGAATACACGCCTACCTCAACAGACATGGCTACATCAACTTCGGCATATTCAACAGGACCAAAGTAAACCATATACCTATTATGAAGTTTAGATGTGAATTTTTTTTTAATTTTCATTGTGGTGTTTTTTTATGGTGCCTATTGCTTGTATTGAATGCTGTTATCTAGAGCAAAATTACCCGTCACGACATCCAGCTTTATATTGTTTATTGTGCCAATTATAAATATATTTAAAACATAGTAACGTTTATAATGTATTTTTATAAACGTTATTCAAAATTTCATAAGAACCAATTAGTCACTCGATTGGTTGAATATTATATGTTATGAATATTTCCTCTGTTATCCTTAGCCATTACCACCAAAAAAATTTGGCACGGTCATCGTCGTGGGTGCCGGCATCGCTGGGCTGGCTGCAGCTCAGCAGCTCAACTCTTTTGGCTTCCAAGTGATAGTACTGGAAGCAAGGGTAAGCAGTTATAAAGATCAAGTTATATTTTTTTTTGGAATTTATATTTTATTTGTTAATTTATATTTTCTTTGGAATTTATATAATATATTTTCTTTTGAACCTGTTTGAGTTTATTTTTGCCATCTATTTATAGTGTATATTATTTATTCCGTTACACTTATGATAATATAAAAATTTTGTGAACTGATGGATGATTTTGGTTTTAGTGTGTCGTGAGATAGGGACGGCAATAAAATAGTGTGATGATGCTCCCAGAATTGTTTGTAATATTTGCCTTCAGTTGTCGGCATTTTGTGCAAAAATAGTCAGTAAAGTTACCAAGATTGAGATCATTCCATATTTATTGCATTCACGCTCCATTTGTGAAAAGTCATATTAACCCATTAATGCCGAGTATTATTTTCAGAATTTTTCTTTGGTTTCCTGTGAGAATATTATCACTTGTGATGATAATAAATAAAAAATATGTTAAAATATTCATTTTTTGTTGTATGTGAAAAATTATAGCTTGGTCCCATTTGGAACCGGGCTATATATTTCATGATCTAAATGACTTCAGAAACATTAAATCACATAGTACCATATACAGCATTATAAGTACTCACTTTATCATCTGACTCATAAATATATTTTAGACCGAATTACTAATCTTTCTCCGCTATGATATCAAGCCGTCCTGCCTGACACCTGGTTCTTATATTCTTTGAATGTTAACTAAACGGAGTAGTCAGCGCAGCAGAACTAAACTTTGCCAGAACATGTACACGATGTACAATTTTGTGCATTAACTACGCAGCCACTTTTATATTTATTTCATCATGTAATTTTATTATGAATCCATTTTTCTCTCTGGTTCCAAATGGAACCGCTTGGCATTAATGGGTTAAAGTAGGTAGGTCTGCTGGTATTTATTAATTTCAGGTCTTGGTCATCTGGTAAGAATTCTTCTTAATTTGTATGATTTTCTATGTAGAAAAACTTTTGTAGACACTTAATCAATTCCCCCAACGGGCTGTATTTTGCAAGATTCGCTTTATGATAAACTTGAATATATTTTTCATGTAGGAGCGTGTGGGTGGACGCATCGCAACATTCCGCAAAGGTCCTTATGTTGCCGACTTGGGAGCCATGGTTGTGACTGGACTGGGCGGTAACCCCGTCAATGTGCTCAGTAAGCAGATCAACATGGAGCTCCTGCGCATCAGGCAAAAGTGTCCACTTTTTGAGGCCAATGGAAGCTCGGTAAATTTCACATCTGCTTCTAAGATTAATTCATAAGTTTCAGGAAAGGCTGGCGAAGAACATAGGTTTTCTTGTATTTGTTTGCTGCAACACTGAGAATAATCTCGCAAATTATGGCTGGTAAAAATTCTAGCGGAATTCTCACTGAGAATAATCTCGCAAATTATGGCTGGTAAAAATTCTAGCGGAATTCTACCTTATTGATGGTAATTATAACTTGATGCTAAATCCTTCATTTTGGATTCTCTCAATGTGCCAAATCTTTCATATTGAAATCTTTCAATTATGACTTGTCGCATATGTCTTAAAATGATGCTCACTGCTGCTGTTACTTAATATGTTCAAATACTTTTGAGCTATTCCTGGGCTCTTTTATTTTGTTCCTATATCTTCTCTCGCCTTCCTCAGCAAGTGGCCAAGGAGAAGGACGAAATGGTTGAGAGAGAATTCAACAGATTGTTGGAAGCCACTTCGTTCTTGTCCCATCAGTTGGATTTCAATTACATCAACAACAAGCCTATCTCGTTAGGGGAAGCTCTGGAATGGGTTATCAAGTAAGCATTGAATATCTCTGAGCTCTTAATATTGTCAGGTGTTGGTTTTCTTCTTTATATGTCATTTCTATATAAGATGCTTTGAAGTAAGGATCGTTAGTGGTTTGGCTTTATTTTCTATTGTTACCATTCTGTTGAGATTATCCAAATGCGATCAGCTGTCGATTCAATCAATCACTTGGTAATTTTAATCATAAATAGATGCAGTCTTGTAGTCTTCACTCACTGGGTAATTTTAATCATTAATGGATGCTGTCTTGTAGTCTTCACTCACTTGGTAATTTTATTCATTAATGGATGCTGTCTTATAGTCTTCACTCTCTTGGTACGTAATTTTAATCATTAATGGATGCTGTGTTGTAGTCTTCAGGAGAAGCATGTCAAGGATCTGCAGGTGGAGTACTGGCAGACGATGGCGCGGCTGCAGGATAAACTGAAGGAGGTGCTGGTGAAGCTGCACACTCTGCAGGAGCGAGTCAAGGTTCTGCACAAGGAGCACCGCAACCTCACAGAGACGCGCAACCCTAAGAACATCACATCTGAGTTCGTCTACCGCGCCCAGATGAGGAACTTGAACAATGCTTGCAAGGTGAGCTTTGCGTCAAGTCATTTTCTCGTCGACGAAAACGTAAAGTTACGGACAGACAGACGGATGGACGGACATGGCGAGCACAATAGGGCATTTGTTCCATAAATGAGTAAATTTGCTAAAAATGGCTTTGAAATTCTAGTCCTAATTTATATTCACTTTGTACAAATAAGTGTCTTCTCAAGACAAATCATATGATTTGTAAAAAGATGGATATAAGATGATTGGAAGATTCTTCTAATTCAATGTCCTCGTCAAATCCCAGGAATATGACCAGTTGGTGGAGCAGCAAATAGAACTAGAGAGCAAATTACAAGAGCTCGACGCTAACCCTCCAAGCGATGTTTATTTGTCGTCCAGGGACCGCCAGATCTTAGACTGGCATTTTGCAAACCTTGAGTTTGCAAATGCTACTCCTTTACACAATCTTTCACTCAAGCACTGGGACCAAGACGACGATTTTGAGTTCAGTGGCAGCCATCTCACAGGTTAGTTCGTTTTGTTTAAGATGCTTTTTGCTCTAAAAAGTCACTCATTGAATACACAGTGAGCAGTAGAAATTATTATATTATTAATGATAAAAATTATTGCAGAACATTACGTTATTGATAGTAATTGTAACATAACGCTACATTGGAATCTGTCAAAAATGACTTTCCTCATAGTCTTGAGATGTATTAATGTCATAATTGTTTAACTTGCTTTAATGAATTGCTTAATTTGCTTAATGAGTTGCTTAATGAGTTGCTTAATAAGTTGCTTAATTTGCTTAATGAATGTGCTTAGTTGCTAACGAATTTGCTTGGAATGTGTGCAGTGCGCAATGGGTACTCGTGCGTGCCCGTGGCGCTCTGCGAGGGCCTTGACATCCGACTGAGCACCGCCGTCCGAATGGTATTTACAATTGGTAACATTAACATGGTAGTAAGCAGGACGATCTCTTGGTAAGAGTGTGCACGTACATTGGATAATGTTGTTATGTAATAGATACTCCTCTGGTGCCATTCTAATGTAATCTAAAATGCTATCTTATATTTATTTATCATAGTTTGTGTGTGTGTTTTTGAAGCATGGTGCCGTCAGTATGAAGGAGCTGTTCGGGCGCGTATCCAGAATACTTAGAACTTATATTTTAGGCCCCCACCCATCTGGGGATCGTTATATTACCTGGACCTGGAAATTTACTCATAGTTAGAGAATAGAAAGGCGTTTCTAAAATGGCGCGAGAGGATTGGATTAGCAAATAAACCTATATTCCTCAATTGATATTTATAAATTTAATTTATAAGACACCGGATTGATGTTTTCATACTTATAACTGGGCTTTGTTCAATTAGCATACATCGATTTTATTTTTATTTTGTGATTTAGGAATTCTATTGCACGGATTATTGATCTTGAGCAATGCCGAGTTAAGATGCTTCAAGTTGAATTATCACTTGTTCATTTGCTGGTATCGAACAGTAATTAGGAATTTAAAAGCAAATTAAATGCCATAACAAATCATAATATCTTTTTAAAGAACGTTGCAGAGTACAGCTCGATTGTCAGCTCAAAAATCCTAGAATAATAATAAAATCAATTTGAACAACCGTAGATTTATGTATAAATTCTGATACCTAAGTTGATAGATAAATGACATGCAACTGAAAATAAACACAAGCAGACAGTCCCTTCTGTTTGAAATTTCAAATGGAAAAAAAATCGAACTAAGTTTTTTTACTAAACAAAGATTATAAAATTTGTAAATCGGAAACATCAGAAGTGGAAGCCTATACTTTAAAGTTCCTCACTTGAATCTGGACACTAAAATGCTCGACGCAAATGAGCACAGCCGAAGGTAGGAGAAGCAGAAGTAGATTTTGATTCCAATTGATGAATACCTTCCAGTTTTTTCCGCTTAATTCTTATACAAAATGCCTCTTGTGTTTCAGACTTTATTCCATGTATATTTCCAAAGATAAGTTTTGTTTAAATTTCTGATTTATTTCATGTTCAATTTAATTCTAAATATAGATAGGTTAGTCTACGGATGATTTTTTCCCCATAGTCATTTCCTTTATTCGCCTAGTTAAGTTTTTATATCTTTCTTGAATTTCTGTTGTGCTAATAGATTTTATTGTTATTTTAGAATTTTTGAACTTACAATGAATCTGAACTCATACACTGTTTGTACAAGATATGTAAAATTTTATTTTTCTAAAATTTTCAGTTAAATCCTGGGCCCTGGCCAATATCATGGGTGCTTCAATATTTAACTGCTTGATGCAAATTTAATATGAACAACATTCATACAAGATTATTTTTTAATGGATGTTTACACAAATTTTAAATCTGTGTTAGCTGAATCGTGTTTTCTCTTGCGATCTTGTTCTAGTATTTGTGTATGTAGCTGTCGTCTCTTTTATACCCTGGTATCTTTTAGAATACAAATTACGTTCGTTTTCCTCCAGCTGCTTGATATATGGGCTTGGCTAAAACCAATTCTATCGTACATTCCATTTTATTGATATAATTCTTTACAAATGTTAACCTGCAGGTTGTGCTGTGTTTTGATCGAGTTTTCTGGGACCCAAATGCTAATCTCTTCGGACATGTCGGTTCCACTACGGCCAGTCGAGGTGAGAAATTAGTGGCCTTACTTTCTTCTTTCTTGGTTGATGGTCATTGTAAGTGATCGTGCATAACCTCACGTTTGTATAGAAAAATGAAAATGAAACTAAATATAACTGAATTTGAAAACTGGTTTAGAATGTATTTTCGTATTGAAGTATGTTTAGTATGGTATTGATTTAGAAGTACCTATATATTTTCGTATTGAAATATATTTAGAATGTTATTGATTTAGAAGTATGTATTTTCGTATTGAAGTATATTTAGAAAGTTATTGATTTAGAAGTACCTCTGTATTTTCGTGCCTTTGCACGACTTATGCTGATGATGATATATGCGGACAGGCGAGCTGTTCCTCTTCTGGAACCTGTACAGAGCGCCGGTGCTGCTGGCGCTTGTGGCCGGCGAAGCCGCGCAGGTCATGGAGAACGTCGCTGATGACGTCATCGTGGGCAGATGTTTGGCTGTTCTCAAGGGAATATTTGGCAACAACGTTGTGCAGCAGGTGAGGCTAGCGTTATATTATTGTCATGATTTTTGCACACTCGTAATCGGTTCATTTGAGAAATTACTGTGATGAGATGGCTTATTTTACAGGGAACTATTTGTCTATCTAAATGCTTGTTATAAACAGCTGCGATATTGAAATTGACTATAAATTCATGCTAAAATGGAAGACTTCTATATCGTTCTTCGACAAAGTAAAGGAAAAAGCATTGCTTTTGAATCATTACGGCATCTAATAAATAAAGACTAAAGTGAGTGTATGTCCATTTAATTGATTTTAATGATGAATTGTTTGATTGTCCAGCCGAAAGAAACGGTAGTGACACGTTGGCGCGCAGACCCCTGGTCCCGGGGCTCGTATTCGTTCGTGGCAACAGGCGCTTCTGGCAACGACTACGACATGCTAGCCACGCCCATCGCCCCGCCCGGCCCCCCATCCAGCAGTGAGATATTCATTACTACGATCTATATTGCTCAACTATAGTATTATGAGTATTTTTACGCATGAGTATTCCTGTACTCATGGGTTATGGCTATGATATTCATAGTGGGTAGTCCAGTAATATTCATGTGGATGGAGGTTCAGAACTTGATCTGAATCATTATTATTGCTTTAGGCTATTCTTCTGAGTTATTGTATTGATGTAATATCGTTTGTTGAGTATGTATAGTTATAGTTATGTAATCGAAAATATATAGGTACTTTGGGATCTAAATGACATTCTCAAGTTTTATCGCAAATTGTAATCAACAACGTAAATGCTGTATTATAATTTGATTCAATCATAGCATTGAAATAGTGAGTGGATATATTTAGTTTGTATAGGGAGTTGTGTTAGTGACAAGCGTCACCCGCAGACGGGAGCGGCGGCAAGAGCAGCAACGGCAGCGGCACCTCTGCTACCAGCGCCCCAGCGGCGCCTGCGGGCGGCGGGAGCGGTGCTGCGGCTGACGTCGTCACCGGCAACGGTGACCCTCCGCCCACTGATCCCAACCGTCCGCCGAGGTGACCACGATATAATGACAGAAATAATAATAATAAGAGGCCGTGCTACCGATACTGGGTACGAGTTTGTGTTACACAAACACGTACCCCTGGGTTTTAGCACAAAAAGCTGCTAGTTTTGCGGCCCCTGATCGCTATTGCCACATTGTGTAGCAATAGCGATCTGGGGCCGCAGAACTGGCAGCTTTTGAGCTAAACCCACCATCCACAGACGAAAAATCTGCTCCTACTTGCTGATTCGAGTTTTGTAATATGATCTCAGGATTATTGTTTACAAAAATAAATTATTTTTAAATCAACAAACGGTTACAACTTGCGTGTTAAAAATTCGATGTTTGACGCTCGGTTGTGTTTAAGTTAATGAACATTTTTCCAAAACTTACAAATTTATCGCATTAATAAATTAGATTAGCGACGGTTCACGGCGCCTTCTTGTCCGGACTGCGCGAGGCTGGCCGCATCGCTGACCAGTTCCTGGGCTGTCCTTATGCATCGCCTCCTGCTCAGTCTACAAAAGCAGACTAGTGTAGTGCTCATCTCTCATTACATTTCATTATGTGTCGAAAGAGTAATATTTATAAGCCTTTTTAAATTGGGAACTAATTACCGTTCTTCAGTATAGTTTTCTGCTCAAGATGAGAAATTCAGTAATATCTATCTCTGATTGCAGTTCATAATGTGTCGAAAATAATGCCTTATTTATTATTTCAATTGGAAACCCACTACTATTTATTTGTGTCGGTTTGTGCCCAAGGAGATGAAATTCAGTAATATCTGTCTCTGATTGCAGTGTTAAGGAACTATAGTTTTAAGAAGTCATTTCACTTAGCTTCTGCGCATCATTTCTCAATTTTGTAATTCTCATTTTTCGAATTAGAGAATTTTTTGCAATGGTGCTTATTAATAATTACTATTACTAACACTGTTTTTATTTAACGATAATTTTGGATGTCATTCGAAAGATGCTGCAATTGGTTGTAAATTGAAATTGATTTGTTACTGTGTTTTAATTAACCTCAAAAACTAATAATGTTCTATTAAGAAATTTTTTTCGTGTGTAATAGACACGTCTGAAATCAGTTAGGACTTAGGCCATGCATATGCAATTCAATATTAGGGATAGGCTACGATGAATTCAGGAAAAAATTAATTTGATTCCTTCATTTCATATGGATTACAGAAGACATTTCTTCAATTTTCTCTGGCTCGTGTGAACGAATAAACATTGTCACCATTTCGGCGGCTGTGACCATTTTCTAACTCCGTTTGGACTTACAATATATTCAAATAGTACTCGATAAGATAAAAAGTTGAATCATGTCATTGATGTCGCGATGAGGTACCAACAATTAATTAAAAGACAAATTATGCGTGTAGCTATCAGGCTTCCCGACGCTGGAATCTTCCAAATCTTCGGTTTGTTTCCTTACAGAATACATTTCAAAATCTTCGCATTCAAATTGATTCATATGGTAACATCCGATCAGTTCCATGACAACGTAGAAAGAATGACGGGTTGTCTCAGGTCGTTATTCGCAACTCCCCTTCACAGCTCCGGAAGAAGCGTATTGCCGACCGCAATGGAAAAACGAGCGAAATTCGCGATGATTTGGACGATGTTTTGTGGGGCGCGAAGCTCAAAGCACGGCCGGGTTAGTGACCGCTTTCACAAGGTATCGCTCGCAGTTGCCTTGTAAGGACGTCTGCCGTTCGTCCGGACGTGTGTGTACTGCCCACTCACCGCACCTGTACGTAGGTTGGAGTGAACGCCTAGCTGTGTGTAATAGTGTACACTTCACCTACCTGTGTGTGTGTTGAATGTGTATAGTGTTAACGCGTATGCTTTATTTCCATCGGGTATTAGAAAATAGACATTTGAAGGTATGAGTAAAATTCAGTATTATTTTGATCCTGCGATGATGAGATATACACTCAAGATGAAAATGAAACTTGTATGCTGGCTTCGTGCGCGCACTGCAGTTGACATCTGCCTTAGCGAAAACAAACTGCCTCCCTGCAACCAAACCGGTGTGGGATGAGGTATTACTGGGAAGGTAAGTTTTAATAACCTTTTAATACTCTTTTACTGGAAAGGTACGTTTTAATACCCTTTTGATGAGCATGCAAATAAATCATAATCGACGAAAATTTAAATATTTTAAGGACTGTAATTTATTTAATAATATTTTAATATTAATATTTTGAAGTATTTTACATTCCAACCGTTAAAATAAATATTAATTCGGAATAAAAAGATCAAGCCGATTTGTAAACAATGTTACGTGTCAGGGTCCGATTTCGTGGCAGATCAAAATGGTGTTACCACATCATTTTCGAGGAAACCAGCAAGTCATACACACTAATTTGGCTCGGAGGTAGGAGAACTGCAGCAAAAGAATCGTCATCTTCGTGAGCCCGGCCATTAAAGCATCGAGTTTCGAGCGTTTGGACGTAGCGTTGCCCTTCAAAAAAAACAATGAAACAAATCCTTGGCCTTATTGAGAATAAGGGGACGGATGCCATAATTACGCACTCCCACGCATGACCGCTGCGGTTCCGTCCAGGTTATCTTTCCGAGAACGAACAAGCAAGACACGGTAGAAGAAGTTCTTAGGCTTCCTCCAAATTACAAGGCTGCCTCTTGAAGTGACTTACTTGGTGCTGATCTACCGAGTGATAAGACCTTATGAACAAAGCTGAGCCGCATGCAGCTCACAAAACCCGTAGCAAGCGAGGATTTTGCGGCGAAGGTTGTTCCCGTTGCATGCCGCGTCTATGTCGGCTTGTTTGGTCTGCAAATTTCTTCGGTGATCTCGTTTCTGGAAATGTGGAAACATTTGATAAAGATGATTTACTAATGATAGTGTCAAAATTAACTATTAGAGAGCAATGTTAATTTTATGTAATATTAGTATAATTTAATATAAGATGCTATTTGCAATAAAATACGGCATGAAAAGTCAAATCTTCGAGGCAGATTAACTGATCTGAGCTCGGCCTTGTTCAGATTTGACTGTTTTCAGTATTTCTTAGTCCTACTTAGTCTTGGTCTAGGCGTTTGGACATTTCGAGGAACTTCATCGCATTCTACATAAACCGTTAGTAGCGCCAAGATCTATGCGTAGCTGCATCCACTCAGGTGTTCTGGATTATCTACAAGTGATCGTAAGCTTGATTGATCATCGGCTCTTGCAAGGACGTCTCCTTGCAAACGTCTGCTTGATAACCGAATAGTGGCATCGGGTATTCTTCACATCTCATTAGCAATTTTTCTGGATGCAAGGTAACGTGTTCGTAGTAAGGGCTTGTCTCTTATTATTCAAGCTGCAGGGCTGGGTCTGAACTTCGGTCACAAGGTTCCTTAGGCGGTGCTTCCTTCCAAAGTTAAAGTTGATTTAGAATTATTGCGGTCCGTACAATTAACTCTCCATATGTGCGGCTAGAGATAGACTTACGATCTATCGCTCGGCCAGCAGGTCATCAATTTGCAGTGTTCCACAGTTCTGCTGAAGAAGTGGTAACGTCGTAAATTGTGCACGGAGGGATTTTAACATACATGCAAGCGATCTATTCTATACAATATATAGCAAGATTTATAGAGGCACTCTATCCTTTGGAGGGATTAAAAGTTGTGAAGATAAATTGGCCATTGATAGACATGCTGAATAGATCAAAGGGTTTTAAACACCGGCAACGACAGCTACAAATTATTATTGGTTGTGGGAAGGCGGATAATATAATGAAATTCAATAACAATTTTAACAACTAAATACCTCAAATCTAAAAAAATCTATATAATAATATATATATTTTAAATATCTTGTAACATGCAAAGGTGCCCGATTATCGTGCAAATATTTGTATTAACCCCTGAACGTCGTAATGATGCCCAATGCCGAAAGTAAAGTCTGCGTCTGCAAATTCTTCAAAATTGGAGAGACGAGCCTTAAGATCGAGCGGTGAAACTTGCCACTTGGGCATTACGATTCACCAATGTAAGCAAGGCCCAGCGGCTGGGTTTTAAGCAGCCGAGCAAATGCTGAATGTGCTGCAGGTTTAGTCAGCAAGTTTAGAATTGAGGTTTATGGCTCAGCCTTACGGTTTGGCCGTTAATTCAGTGCAGTTCTGAGGCTTCACATTAATCTCTTGATAAATGCAGGATTACCTTGCTCGGGATATGTTTAAGTGAAAGCTTTAAAATGCCTGCAAGCAATAGTGTGGTTTTTAGCGATTATTTTATCCAGGGCTGAACATAAAGATTCTTTTGCAAGTCAGGCACCAGAAGGGCCTAGTGAGTCGAGGCATCGCACGCGTGTGGGCAGAGACAGCTACTACCACACTCGCGCCGTAGCGCGTATCCTTTTATGCTAAAACCATTACGCCCACTGAAGGCTTCAGCAGCGCGTAGGCCGGCCACGCTTCTTCCATCAATGAGAAAACGCACTCGTTGATTTTAATCCGGAGCCTAGGTCGGTCAACTCAATTTGCTCGCCTACGTCGGCCACGAATCAACAAATGCACTGTCGCCGTTTGTGAACTAACCGCATGCGTAAGCGCTGTAGTTACCTGAGAAATACAACGGTATTTCAAGTCAGAAACAAGTCGAATACGGCGTTACAAGTCATGTAATTTGGCCATCATGAACTGCAAAACCTGCCCACGTGCCATTTGAGCACATGAATGCGAGTGGGAAATCCGCTGCTGTCGCAGATGGAGAATAGAATGATTCTTTTCTCGAGGAGTTTCTAAATAAGGCTCCCTTGAGAGCTTCGTGTAACACGCTAGCTCCCATACAATTGAGACAACAACCGGGCCCACTCTTCCTTCTGATCAGCTCAGTGACCAGTCTTGTGTAGAAGTAGTGTTACTTAATTTCTTCTGATGAACATTATTCATTCTAAGATTATGATTATGATGGTTTTGACGCAAGTTTTTTTTTTACAAACAATATAACATAAAAATCAATGGTACTATTTAAATGTTGAACGTAAACAAAAATATGCTCTACGACATTAAATTTATTAAAATTTTAAATTGATTCTGGCCTTTCGCGCTTATGGGCATGATTAAAAAACGAACTTCAATTCTTATTGTTTGTTAAAAAATACTTGATACTCTGTCGCATTTTGTAAGTTATTGGGCGCTGTTAATTGAAGGTTTATTTATGTGAAAAATGAAGGGTATATTAGCCTATTAGGCGTACTTTATTAGTGTACTTTTTTTTGTTTCAATTTAGGCAAATATAATTTGGACGGTACTGCTGTCCAGTAATTATGATTATCCTACACGTATTCGAACGGGATCATGGAATAAGCGGTAATAGCAAAAAATTATTAATCAGCCATTCATTGTATCATTGTCGTCAGCAGTCGCGGATGGAACTAATCGAGATCAGACATCGCAACAAATCAATTATTATCAGCCGCTTGTGCACAAAAAATGAAAATGTTAAGGAATGAAGCCTGCGCGAGAATTTCTTAGCATAGGCATCCAAAATATTTTGACATTTCTCTTCTCAATGAATCATCATTTAAAAAGATGGCACTTATTACAAGAAGAAGAGTATTCAAAAGTGTTGAAGTTACACCTGCAAAATTTCTCGAGACTAAAACTTCTAAATGACAGACCCGTGCAGGCAAAAGTTGACGAGAATATTTCTCTAATACATAAAAAATTTCGATTAATGCGCGAAGTTGCCTCTACCGAAAAGTGATATCATGACGAAATTTTGCCGGACGATATTTTTTCCTTGGGGACTGTTTGCCGGCCGGACAGAAAGGGCTCGTAATTAAGGGGCATAGCCGTCCTTATTTAGCGGCCTCACCCGTGCCCTATTCGGGGGGCCCCGGCTCATGGATGGCCTATAAGATAACCCGGCAATAATAAGACGTTGCTGTATAGTAGCGGCTAAATTTTCTCGCGCTTTCATCCTCAATGTTACAATTTACACTCGGGCAATAATGAACAGTAGAAGTTCATTGCGCTACTAACTAGCGCTTATTAATTTCCTGTCAGTTCGAAAAGCAATATTCTTCAAGCCGTCAGTCATTACCATCTACCTCATATTGATCTATGCTAAATCATTTAATTAAGAAAAATGAAACATTTCAACGCTTTCCAATTATTAATAGCTACATTTTTCTTTGCTATCAATAGAATTTCTTTTATACTTTAAGCATTTACATTCCATTTTTTGTTCCCAGCTCCCATTTTTTAATTCGATTTCATTTTAGGCATCCACATTTTCAATTTTTTCTCAACTCCCGCATTTTCAACCCCTTACAGTTCTCGATGTGCACATTTTCACCATTTCAATTCTAGTTGGTAATCGACATTTGCATCCTTTTCCGATTGTGAATCCACTTATACATTGTATTATAGTGATTCACCACATTTCCTTTATTATGCATGTCATTCTTTTACATCTCAGTAGCCTCCTACTTCAATATATCCGTAATCACATTAAATACTTGAGCCGAGAATCGAGTGACGAAATATAGTTTTTAAAATTATACTTTCGGAAAAATTAACTTCCATAGTACAACATTTAATCATCTGCACTGCAAAAAACGAACACTTTCATAAATTCATTCCCCTTCCACTCCATTTTCTAACGACTTTCATAACAAGTCTTACTACCTTTAACCATTTCGTAAAAAATGTTCTTTGTTCTACAGAATCGAATTCATAACAAACCATAATTCACAACTGTTCTTTCTAGGAAACAACGATTTCAATAATTCAAATTTCTGGAAACGGATAAGCGGTGCAAACAATGTCAATAATGCATATTCATCAGTTTTTGAAATGTTATCAGCACAATTCAGTCCTATCAATGCATTAAGTACATTGCTTTTACAAGAACGTGGAACATTTCTTATATTTTGAATGTAATCGTGACTGGGATGTTATAAAATTTAAATTATCATTGTAAGGTAAAGAAAAATGTAAACTAATTTAATTGGTTTGATGTACTACAGAATTCAATGTCGTGAATTGAAACTGTGAATTATAGTTCATACGGTGCTGCTCAGTGAACCAGGAAACACGTTTTCAGAATTGTGCAAAAGGATGATATGAGCTTTCATCTCAGTACAATGTTCGTACAGTGTGTGAAGGCAGCGAATATAGTGAAGTTTTCAAGCAATCTACTCGGTGTATTGTGCGAAGTAATATAACCAATTTGCAGCATGATTCATCTTGAATAGCCGCAGCCAAATCAGGTAAATTTTTATTCATTTTTGTAATCACTAAAATCAAATATTGTTCTTATGATCAATCTGCATACTCTACAAATTCAGTCAAAATATAATGTTTAAGGACGTTAATAAGATATTTCTTGCAAGGACTTATCGCTATTTGTCAATGTTGTTGTCTTCATTTTTAGTTGCATAGTTTAGTTATGCGTCAAATGCTCGCCCCATGTACATGCGAGCAAACTCTGCTGTTACAGCGCAATAATGTTGGTTGTGTCGGACAATGGCCCTGAAAAGCTATGCCTAGTTGTGCATACTGGCACTGCAGTGGCACAGTGCCAACCGCCGCTACACTTATAAACCCATGCACACTCACCTGCACGGTGGTGACCGGTGGAGCTATAGCCATCACGATGACGATGCTATATCATCATCGTTATATAATGTTATATAATGTTATCTTATATGGAGCAATAGCCATCACGATGACGATGTTATGTCGTCATCGTGTTATATGTTATATAATGTTATATTGCATGGAGCTATAGCCATCACGATAACGATGTTATATCGTCATCGTGTTATATGTTGTATAATGCTATATTATATGGAGCTATAGCCATCACGATGACGATGTTATATCGTCATCGTGTTTTATGTTATATAATGTTATATTATATGGAGCTATAGCCATCACGATGACGATGCTATATCGTCATCGTTTTATATGTTATATAATGTTATATTGTACGGAGCTATAGCTATCACTGCACACGAATGAGTGCCACTGATAATAAGAGTGTCATGTCGGACTGAAGTAAAGAGAAGAAAGTAACCTGTATTGTTCTAATGTGAATGAATGGGATCTGAACTGAGAAGCGAAATATTTATGTACCATGTAATGGTTGCAAAAATAATATGTTTGAGTTGTTTTCACAGTAAAATTTACTAATTATTTAATATATAGTAATATACATGGCCATTTAAAAACTTTTCTAAGATTCATTCACTGCGGGGGGAAGAATGATTTCTTAATTACCGGCTTTCATGCCAGCGTTGAGAGGTCGGTCGCGCGCTTACTTGGTATTTCTTTCCCATAGGTAATAAAAATGTGCGTGGAAAAGGAACAATTTATGCACTGATCTGCGTTATGGCTCACATCAAACTTTGATTGGGAAGCGACAGTCCGAGTTTCCAATTTCCTAGTGTCGTTGGTATCGATATATATAACCTGCTCGACGTGTGCCATAAAAGTTTTATGGAATTACTTGGTATGGTGTACAGATAAACACATGTTATAATTTTTTGCAATGGAAAAACTTAGATAATTCAGGAATAATCGATTTTAATTATCAACTTGTTTTTTCTTTATTTCATCAATAATAAGAAATAAAAAAAAATTTTGGTCATTTTAACATTAAATAGTTTCGAAACTATGTTTTTATGCGTTGGAATGAATTAATTATTAAAAACATTCGCATAGTATAACTTATCAGTTGTCTCAATAATCATTTGATAAATATATTTTTCAATTCCTCTTAAATTCCGATTTCAATGAAAATCGTCATGTGGATTATGCATGACGATCGTGACGAATAAAATTATGTTCGACTGATCGATAGTACGTATAGAGCAATTAGACTCACTATTTCAATGTATTTATTTAATGATGAGCTTCGTGGAGTTGGTGAATTCTGATCGTTACTTTACACAGCCTTCTAGACTATTCCACTGAAGGAACTCGACATTTTACGTGAGAAGGATAGAATTTGTAGCATGGGGTAACTTTTTAGGACTTCTCAGGTTGCCTATGTGGGAGCCCGCAAGAAAAAGGGGAGATTTATGGACTCTCTGTTGCTGAAAACTCTTTAATGATTTATATTGAATAAAATGTAGAAAATAAACACGTTTTCGTACATGGAGACGATGGAGCGACATGTGTGTTCACCGCCGGAGAGGTCCGGGCAAGCCATAGAAGGCATGGTGCTCTCTCGGTTAGGGTAGCGTCAAGTCTGTTTTAGGGGAAGATCATGTGTGTAGGGAGGCACGCCAGTACCGCCAGATATCAAACCTACTCCTTCTTTTTATACTTATTTCGTTTATGCCTCACACTTAATAAGAGTATTATAATATGTTAGTTCATTGGGAAACTATAGAAACGCTTTTTTATTCGCATCACGTGCACAGTGGAGCCCTTAGTCTCTGCAATATGTGGTAACCCTTATTCATCCTAATAAAAAAATTTTAAATCATCTATTAAAATAACACCTCGAGGAATTGATACGATCTTCATTGCGGCATAGCAATTATTAATCAAAATTAAAGCGAAGAACAGTGACTGTTGGCTGTTTATGCTTTCTATATCATTCATTTACGTCTCAGCTCCCTCATTTCAAATGATATTGACAATCGGTATGATCAATGAGACGTGACCAGCGCACACAGTAAACATCCAACATTTTCTAATACATTTGTTTCGGTTGTTAAACGCGTGGTGATGTAATTTGGTCAAGTCTCTCCAGCATTTCCACTTTATGACTTCAAGTTAGGTTATTAGAAAGTCCGATGGTTGTTGCCATTGACCTTCTGCATGCACTGTGAGGCCGTTAGTATGTTAACGAATGATTGTTATCAGTCATTAAGGAGAATATAATGGACGATGACCGTCGTTACGACAAGGGCAGAACACTACATCGCACAAAGGAAACTTGCCACCTCGTCGCCCCGCTCACATGCTTCAATAATATAAGAAAGCAAACAGCCCATGCATGGTCATGAGGGCGTCCATATTGATGCCGTAGGAGAGATGTAATAATGCTGGAAAGTTGTTGTTGCCAAATGACCACAAAACATTGCCGATGAAAAACCTTGCTCGATTCTTGTGGAAGCGGCAATGCTGCATCGAAACAGCGATGCTGTACTGCTGCATTAAGTCAGGAATTGGTGCGGTGATCCTGCTGCATCGCTGCAGTAAGGCACCTTTTAAGGCACCTCACTGGCTCAGATCCTTTACGGGCGAAACTAGCCGTCGGACCAAGCGACCAAGTTCCACTGCAGCTCCCGTTCTCTCCGGGCATAAAAAATCTTCACAGTGGCCATCGCAGAAGCGGGCGCTCTGGATTGGAGGTACAAAACGATGCTGGCATTCAAAGATCAAAGAGAGGAACTGGAGGTCCTGTGTCGTCGACGTCTACGTCGCCGAAATAAAAACTCTCCGTAGGAGATTCTAAAGAGTCCCAATTGGTCGCGGCCCTTACATGGAGCGCCATTGCATGCAGTATATGGACAAGAATAATTCGGTGTCACTCGTAGACCATTATTCATTGTGTTGTTCGATAGGCTGGCTTTTGTTTGCCAAAGTTCCCTTTATGGCGAGGATTGGGCTTTTTTGGGCAAGTGCGATGAGATAAGGCAGAGATGCGAGTGTTGCGCGCATTCCTTTTAGGCGTTGGTGAATTAGATAGCGGCCCTTGCAATGGCCAATGCTAAATTGTTGGGCTCTCCTTACTGTGCTCCGTAAGGAGAAGCGCCATGCACTAAATTGCAGCCACGATTGTTAGGTAGTGCAGTCGAACAACTCGCGGTCCGTGATTGGTGGCTGGACTCAATGACGTGTCCACGACACATGTGCATTACTGCGGTATATTAGAACTCTTCGACGTCTGAATATACGTATTTGTCCACGTATTATGTTGCTCTTCTTGACTCTATTATTGTTATCATTTATTATAAGAGGCAAGCGTTTAAAATCAATTCTCAATTATTCTTAACTAATTTTTTGCCAAAAATACAATCGTTTTCTTAAAGACACATTTATGCAACTGCTCCCATTTCAAAGCAAGTGCTCTGGCACTTTTTCTAGACCTGTTTCAAGCTAAGGTAGTTTATCGATCCGCATGGTGGTTATTAGAAGGAAGCTCGCCTTTTATGAAAAATGTTAAGTCTTCCCTCAAGAAATGAGTCTCTAACCACCTGCCGTTCTCAGGGGTCAAATATATCTACTGTGCATTCAGTGGACGTCATAGAGGCCTTGTAGGGAAGGTTGTGGCTTCTAAGTCAGGAAAGGCATGAGCGCTAAGTACGGAATGTTTGTCATAACTCAAGTCAATGTTTCTGGTCTCAATGTCTGAGATGGTAAAGGAACAGGCAATGAAACACCAAACATGCATTATTTTAAGCTAAGCTTGTTCTCTGGTCAAAGATGGCTTAGGTGCTGCACAAAGACTGCTAAGTGAACCTCTTGTCGAAGATAATCGTTTTCTTTGTATTGTGGCAGGAGCGCATACCATATTTTGAGGAATTCGCGCTTCTATAGCCAAGAATAGCTGAATCTTTTATGTGTGCAACCAAGTCTACCATAACAATTTTTAATTCAACTTAAATTCATGCAGCTTGGGAAATGAAAGATAACAATTGCAATGTGACGTCTTTTGAACTATTTTAAAGCCCATAACATGTTTACGTGATTCAATAAACAAAGTAGAAATTTGATATTTTTTGCCGTATATAAAACTGAATCAGATACTAAGAGCATTTTCCGAGCTCCCATGGTGCATTCCATTATAACACGTGACATTGTAATGATTAGTTGAATGAGTTGAAGCACTAAAACTTTCAAAAGATTAGTAAGACTTGACCAATGCATAACATTGATTTAACCAATGCATAACATTAATGTCATTGCGAAATAGCCAATTAAGCCTTCCTTGGTTATTGAGGCTAATTTTCCCCCCCCTCAAAAATAAACGTTGTAAACATTCTGTCAGAATTTGTGCAGCGATTGGTGAGCTCATAGTTTTCATACAATAAACAAGATTTGCGCGGTTCAATGAGTCCATAATCTAAGAAAACGACCAACTTAGGAAACTTGTCATGTTTGCCTGACCGAACGCAACGTTATCGGTATACTGACTTCTAATTATAGCGCCCTTGTTACACTCACGGAAATTAGGGACTCATGTGATTTTTATGCCATAAAGCATATTTTTTATTAGACTGTCAACATTTTCTCTAATATTTACATTTAT